CATATATTTATACTCAACAATGGCCAGGACTCCCTGGAAATCTGACTCATTCGACGACGTTTGATGCGTATGTCTATCGATCCGTTTTTCTCCTTTTTATGGATTTCGGGAAAAAATTCGAGATATAAGCGAAAAACGAACGGATCTGCTTAATTTTGCACTTTTTCCCACATATCTAACGCCTAATGTTAATCGGATAACCTTAACGCAATAATGAATTAACTACTAAATTAGAAAAAATGAGATAAACGCACATAACGGACGTGACAAAATATCGGACTTCACTTCTTTAATTTAATTTATTCAAATGTATAGTTTCCACGTGTTTTTTGTGTTTTAGGTAGTATTAGAAATAATTATATATTTGCAACTGCACTTTAGGCTCTCATTAGCTCTTGTATTATTATAATTAAAAACATCAGATTGATGAAAATTAACTCGAGAAGTAAATCTCTGATTAAGCTCAGTTATTTGATCTTGTATATTATTTACTAATTTTCATAAATGTACTATGTATATATATTAATTAATATTTTCAGTATTAATTTAAAAACGTTTTTCACGATATGCTGTTTCTTTCTAATTTCTGCCTAATCTCATATCACTTAATAATTTTTGATAAATGCAAATACTTGTAGAAAATTCTCTTATATAATGCCTTAAATTTTATTTAACAATATAATGTAACACAACTGTGCATGACACTCAGTAAATAAACTACAATAAAATATTTAATATAATGTTAAAATAATAAATAATAATTTAAATCTCAATTATTAGAACCAAATAATTTTATATATGAAATTTTTACAGAGTTTTACTTCTCAAATTTATATATCGTTTTACGTTAATACGCAATAATATTGTACATATTATTGTTTAATAAATTAAACAAGGATATACCAACGATATATCCAGATGTACCTTAATTCCATTTTATCTCCATTTTTTCCTGCAGTAGAATGTGTTTGCTCCGCAATTGTCCAATGTGTGTGAATGTGACATTGTTACCGCAATTCGTATGTATGTTCCTAAAAATAAATATATTAATACAAAGTTAAAACAGGTTCCAATATAAATATTCTGATGCAATTCGTGCATGCGATTTATCAAACAAAAATGTGAAAATACAAGCTATAATACTTGCAACACATAATACAGTAATTACAGTTTTTAAATATAATATCAGTTTTTTAATACTGAATCAAAAATAATCTTCATGATTTTTAATGTATAAAACTAAACCTAGAATCAACTAACATCAATTTAATAAGTACGATCGACATCAAGATTTGTAAAAGTAACATTATTGTTCCGCATTTCAATCGTAATCAATATAAATCTCTCATGACAAATACGTGAAATCTATCAACTACTGTTCCGTTCATTACAATTGAGGTTATTCGAATTAAATTTTATGAGTTTTGATATTAATACGAACCACGATGTACAAATACACGATGATTCTTGCACGATTACTTGTCGCATCCTATATATTATCTTACATTATGTAAATGTACGATAAATCTATCGCGGTATCGATAAATATAATAGGCCAAAAGAAACGGCAAGTGTAAACGCGGTACTAACGTAGTGAAAAGAGAATTGCATCGATAGTATTTCGATTATCACGTGACGCGTTTAAAAATTGCAGTAGTGCAAACTTTTATAATTTGTATAATACTTCACAAGAAATCCCTTAACCTAAATAATTTCCAAAATAGCTATTATCGCATATAAGATTTATATGTATCAACAATCGTTTAAAAGATTAATCGATTAAAAAAGAATTAGAATCTAATTAAATTGTGCGTAATAATAAATATCAAGAGCAGTTTATTCCATTCATTACAATTGAGATTATTCGAACTAAATTTTATAAATTTTTATATTAATACAAACCACGATGACGATGTATAAATACATATGACATAATTACTTTGTTGCATGAACTGATTATCACATAAGCACAAAACGTAGTATGTTTGCACAGTATTGATAAATAAAACAATAAATTAAATGGCAAATAAGCGGAAGTTATGATACTATACTAGAGTTCTGAACAGAAAACCGCAACAATTTTACTTTAGTTATCACGTGATATATTGAAAATAGATATTGCCAACATCTGCATTGTACTTCTCAAGAAATTATTTTGTTGACCAATTTTAAACGTAACTAATTATTATTGCATATTAAAATTAATGCACCAATCATCTTTTACTACTTATTTAGCACTATTTTGAAAATACAAAATTAAGTTTAATTGACTTCCTTTCATATTAATGCCATAGAAAAGGTTAAATATAATATTTTGATAATAATTAAGTGTATTAAATTAACTGAAAGTCAGAAATTACTGAAAATTCCAAAAATATTAAATTTTTCTGTTTTGCTTGATAGTAAAATATATTTCATGCAATCCATTTCAGATATATAACCATTATTTTTAATTGCATGTTAGCAATAGAAAATAATAGATTACATAAGAAAACAGTGAAATAAAGAACAACAAAGTTTTTATAAAAGCATATTAAATTATCCATAAGTATTAAATATCGATAATGACATTTTTTATTGAAAATATTGTATTGTTGCATGAATAAATTAGTATTACGTACCTAAATTGTTGTGCATATTGATATCTGTTCGAAACAGTCTTACCCTGCTCATTACAACTAAAATTCATTCAAATTAAATTAAATTTTACATTTTAGTATTAATACTATGATAACAATGTACAAATATAATGATTCTCACACGATTATTTTGCTATTTCTAATAAATTATCATATATAAACATATGACACGGCATAATAGAATAGATAAATAAAATAAAATGTGAAAGATCATTGGCAAGAAAATAAGCACGATACTTTTACAAAGAGAATTGCGGTAATATTGTTTCGTGATAGATGAATGCAAGAATGCAAGTATTTGTATTTTACTTCACAATAAATTCTTTAAATAAAATATTTTAAAAAGCTAATTATTATTACATATTAAAATTAATATGTGTCCACAATTTTCAATAGCACATATAGCACATATACTTCAATAATACAGAAAAAATGTTTCCTTAAAATTTTACTTTAAATCTTTTTTGAGTTATTATAAATTTTTATCACTAATTATGTTTTATTTATTGCACATTGACTTTACAGAAAGAAAATTGACTTTACAAGTTATAATTTTATAACAGGAAGTTAAAACTAATGTTAAAAAACTGATATCAGCAATATTTTTGAATTTAAATATTAAGAGTTGAAAACATTGTGGTTTAAATAGTGCCTAGTAAACATTAACCAACAGTAACATAACAACAAAGTTATAATTTCCCACTCAACAATGTTACTGCAATATAACATATCTTGTACATAAAAATTATATTGTTTAATAGAAAATTATAACATTGATGTTACATTATTGTTAGTGTGTTTGCTGGATGAATTAAGAACTTACTATTGTAACATTGTCTGACATCTTTCTTTCATCACTCCGCTGTTTGTCCATCAAATTTTTGCAACGCATTGTTCAATCCTTGCCATGATTTATTAAGATTCTTATAGTAATTACTGAAATAATAACAAAATACAATTAATTGCTATTTCATTTTGATAATATTATGTGAATTTCTTTGATAAGTGCAACAATTTGTTGCATTTATTGCAATTTGGATTATAATCGAATTAAATTTTATCAAATTTGATATTGATACGCATCATCGCGACACGTATAAATATGACGATTATATTCTTGCACGATTATTTTGTCAAATTCCGATATACATACGACATAAATCCGAAACGTGGTGTTCCGTGCTATTAAAAAAAATAAAATATTCGTAAAATGAATCAGCAATAAATGAGAGTAGTACCAACATTTTGAGAAAAAAAAGCGGCAATATTATTTTCATTGTCACGTAATCTTTTTTGCCGACAATGGAGCCACTGCATCATACTTCACAGCAAATCATTTAGCTGAGAAATGTTAAAAGCCGATTATGATCGCATATGATTAATGTGTAATAACAATCATTTAAATAATGGCGTTTAAGAAATTAATTGGTGTCACTTCAATTATTGTATGCAGCACTGATTGTGCATTGCCAAAACATCCATTCATTGCAATTGAGGTTAACGGTAAATTTTATTAATTTTGGCATTGATTGAACTACACAAATAAATAAAGTAGGTAAGATATTTTACGACTCTCGTATAATATGTTACTTCTAATACATTATCACATATACGTGAGACGCAATATCGATAAATTAAATACACAGTACATAAATTAACAAATAATTACCGTTACGCAATACCTTTGAAAAGAAATTCGTGGAAATTCGCGGGAAAAACACTTCCAAGAACGGGTAAACAGGGCTACAAACTTATGTTATCTAAAAATCGAGTGGTGGGAACAAGCTCGACACCAGCCTGTTTTGTAATTTATTTCATATCACTAGAGGCGCTGTAAATAAGTGTTGTATTTAAAGTGCAAAATATAAAAATGGTAAGTTAATATTATTAAATAAATAATAAAAAAATGTTTATTATTTATTTTTTAATTTATATAAAATAATTAAATATTGATAAATATATGGAGAATAACTAACATAAATGAATTAAGCATCGCAAGCAGTCAAACTCGGAATTACAAAAAAAAAAAATAACCTTTAATATTATTAATATAATAAGATTTATATTTTTTTTTGTTTATATATTTTGCTCACTTTGTACACACGTAACACGTTTGAAATTGGCGGCGATGCAAGTATGAGCATGTACTTTATCAATTTATCATTTTATTATTCTATACAAAAACTTAAATACAAAAAAATATATAAAACTAGTTTAAATAGAATATATATTTTTTATTTTTATTTGAACAATCTAATTATAATTGTGCAATTTTATTTTGTTTTTACGTGAGTTTATAAATGTGCTGCCATCTGGAAGAATAATTACGAAATTATCAACGTCAGTTACTTGCCATCTTGGTACCGATTAATCAATGTTCGAATCAGTTCGAACCGTGACTAAAATACTCATGTAACGTTTTAGTTTGTCTATTGTAAATTGTTTTGATTTTTGATACTGACACTACGAAGCAAGAACGGATCGCATTTCGGTGGACAACACTCCTTCCGAATCTTTTATTTTAGGTATCAAGGTTATACGCATCGAATGAGTGACAATTTAGCATCAAGATCAATAATAAAACGTTGTATGTCACTTAGCTTCTGCTAACTTTATTTAACCTAATTCAGTTTTATTAACGCAATGATTGTGTGTGTGTGAACAGTTCTGTAATTTTGTTTTTTTCTGCTAAACAAAAAGATCTTATCTAATCACGCGTAACCTTTATATTTTTTTTTATCTTATCACACGCAATTACGTGACTAATCGTTAAAAAATTGGACTCTAAAAAGTATATTTTATTTCCACAGGAAAAGTTAATTTATAACGATGTTCGAGTGGGCATACAGCGGTGTAAATAGCTCTATACCGCGCAACGTCGGTCCAGAATGCGCAAATTATTTGACATTAAAACGGAGGATAATAGAAACACTATTTATATCCGTATTTATCATATCCTGCATCATCTGGGGCCTGAAACGAGTCACTTTGCCAAAGAATTTGGCCTATGCTGGACATGATCGTGTTGGCAAGCGAGTTCTGTTGATTATGATGACACTCGTTTTGGGAATGGAGATTGGTTTTAAATTCACTAGCAGAACTGTTATATATTTGTTAAATCCATGTCACATTACAACGGCGCTACAGGTATGCTTGAATCGTCATATTAATTCTTGTGTTAAATAGTTTGTATTTTTCTTAATGTTACGTTAAATCTTTGTACTACATTTACACATCTTCTGTTGCAATATAGTTGTATTTGTTGGCTGCGGATCCTAGTCCAACAGTCAATGCTATCTTCAGGATACATTTGAACTTATTGAATGGACCTGTACTAGCATATCTATTTCCAGAGACAGAATCTCGAATTGTAAGTCATATTGTTTTACTTAACACTAAGTAAAATGCAGTTTTAAATGATAAAATTATTTTTTTTCAGATATTTGCAGACAGAGCAATGTACTATATTCAGCATGGTTTAATGCTAGTAATACCGTATTACTTGTTGAGGATTGGAGGTAATTGCCTATATTTTAATACAGATAATAGAATGACTATGCTTATTTATTTGTAGGCATTTGTTTCATCAGTTTTTTAATATCTTGTAAGAACACTTTAAATTATATTTTATTATTTTCTGCACTAGGTGTATATAACATAGAGCCCTTATCTGATATGAGTTGGTCAGTTCTTAGTTATGGCCTCAATGCAGGATATCACTTTTGGATTCTTCAAAGCGTTGCCTTGGTTTGTATACCAAATTTCTTGCTTGTATTGAGAATTTAATATTTAAGAAATTTTTTTCTAATTATTTTTATAGCCTGTACAGGTGAATCTTAGCCACATGCTATGTGCAGCTGTTTTGGATCCATTTGAAGGCCAAAATTATCGAATATGGGCAGTAATTCATCAATCACTATTATGTCCCAGCCTATGCAAACTGTTCTGTTATGGATCCAACTTTTTCTTAACTAAATTTCCACCGACTAGGGTTAAGCAGACGTTAGAAGCCACAATCCCAAAAGAGAATTGTACATACGAACAAAATGAAAAGTTACACGAAGATTCTAATACCTCAGGAAATGGCCATACACATTTTGATTAGTTTGGTAAAGGAAATCGTTGTACCAAATGTGTATGAACACTTCATTTTAATTAAGTGAGTATATAATATCTATATACATATTACTAGATTTCTAATCCTTTTACACAATCTATATTTGCATTAGAACTTGTATAGATGTCAGTACATATGCAAGAATGTCAAATTCTTCCTTGCAGACTAATGCATTTATAATTATACCCTGACATCTTCAGACATCGTCTGCAGAGGAATTAAACAAAAAAGAGGGAGATAGGAAAAATTAACTTCTATAAGCTTAATTGTACACTATTACAATTAATACGTACGTAAAACAATGATTAACACATTCCTACTGGAAATTTTTTTTTATCAGAATTATACACTTGTTCACAGACACACAATATACAAGACACCAAACAAATGAGTTGATCTTGGTACAATCATTGTGATCATATTAGTTTTAATTCATTAGTCCATGATATTGAGCGATAAGTCAATAGTCAATTTGAAGTATAAATTTCTGTCCAAATGCTTGTCATGCCTAGCGCTGTGCATAGATTAAGAATCTCAGTGATAGTGCGAGGCTTAAGCTGATGTCCAAATAATAACAGCGGCTGATTAACAAATCTTGTATAAACCGCACTATCTTTTACTAGGTACAAATGTGTATTACGAAACTATCTTGTGTATTTTTACATTTATTTTTACTCATGCAATAGTGACTAATGCATTCAAATAACGAAACTGCAATATATTTTACACATAGGTAAAATTTTATCATATATAATAGAAGTAGAACAATTAAAACTATCCTAAATAATATTCTCGCATGAACAAAAAAATATATTATCTATTTTATGTCCTTTCAAAATCTATCTTCATTAAGAAAAACCATTTTTGTATGGAGCTAATTTTCCACATATAGTCATTGCCGCAGATTAATGAAATAAAATGGCCTATGCTGCTATTCGTGTAGAATTAATCAGAAAACAAAACAAAACTTGTAAACTTCCATAATTTCAGTAAGCTGCCATTAGAGAAAGAATCTGGTTTTTCAATGAAACAGCCTGGTAGTACAGAATTTATGTTACAAGTATCAATAATAATATTGATAATAATAGTATTAGTGACACTATATAGTATTGATAGAACTAATATGATAGAACGATATGGAGAAAGCTAACTTGGCGATCTTGTAATTTAAATATAACATACTTCGATTATATAGAAATTTTTGTGGAATATATAAAATATACCACAAATGACATGTTAATCTTGGAGCTAAAGATAAGACATCAGGATCATAACTTTTGCACGAGAATGTTCCAGTTCTTGCATTAGACATGTGTATACTATACTAATATTTCGCAAATTAACCAACTAATAACAAATAAGATTGTCTTTGGCATGGTACTATAAAATTACTCTCATAAAAATCATAGTATTTTCTATTAAAGAGGCCTAAAGGTGAAGAGTATTGTTCAAAGAGGGAACAAGAATTGTTACGAAAAGATCAGTATTTAAACTAACACGATTAATTACGTTATTACATGCATTTTAATGCAAAATAGAAACATTCGCATGCACGCAGATCGTAATAAATTTTTGAAGAGCAATATAGCAAACTACTATTATCTAATAGCAAATACTTTCCATTTATTAGCCATAAACGAATCCAATTATCAAACGCTGTAATTTATAAAAAAAAAAAAATAATAGTTTTCAAAAATTTTATAAAAGCTAGTCTTTTGTATTATTAATTAATAGAACACTTGGCGCATATGTAATGAAAGAAAAGAGATAAATGGAATTAACTGTCTTATTTATTCGGCTAAGCATTTTTTGACATTCCATTCTGATGAATTTAGTTATTTAATATTATTTATATTTTTATAACTTAATTTTGTATTTGTATATTTTTAACGTGATTGTGAAATTTACCTAACTAGATCATTAACGAATTATTTATACACAGAACATTCTCCTCGCTTATTGGGATATACCTCATTTGTGTAGCTCTCTTAGTATAGTTATTGCGTATCACATAAGCATAACAGGGAATTAAATTAAGGAAAGTTATAATGTAAAGCAGTGATATATCTGGGTATCTCATACCAAAGATTTAATTTGGTCTTAGATAAGACGGGTGATAGATATGATATTTTCAAGGTATTGCTAATAATAACTGTGTTAGCAGTTACTGGTACTACTTAGAAGCCAGAATGTGGTTGTGTATTCTTTTACTTAAATAAATTTTTAAGTAAAAGCCATTTGAGACGTGGCAGTTGCAATATTCTTTTAAGAGCTAAGCCATATTTTCTTAACGCATGATGAAATAAGTTTGCAGTTTCGTTGTTTGTATAATTTGTATGGTTTCTAGAATAATTATATAATAGTAATATACGTATACACATATTAATTGAGAATAAATTTTCCGTCAGTTTCAGCCTCATTTATATTGCACTAACAGTATTGTACAAATGTTTAGCTTGTGCAAAATGCGTCGCCAGTGTGTAAATTGTTCAAGATTTCGTACATCGTATACTTCGCGCTCGCGCATTGCCTTTATACATGCTGTACAAAAAAATATGTTATTTCTTATTCTAAACATAGAACATTCGATTGTAAATAGCGTTGGTAGCGATTGTAAAAAGAATTTAGGACATGATACTCTGGCGATTTCATATTGCATCTTGATTTCCACGATGAATCAATTGCATTTGACTAAGACAGAAATTTTCTGTTCTATTCAAAGATAAGTAGGAAGTCCGAAAAATGTGGTGGGATACTTCTGTTTTAATAAAGTATATTCTGTTTTAATGAAATGGAATCTAGATTGCTACGTGAAGAATAACAAAAATGACAATTTTTGTAAAAAATAACGGGGTATGAGGGAATAATACAAAGCTTCTGCTTTTTATTGTTAATTGAGTTAGATTGTTTTAAATAATAATTTATGTATATTTTATGCGCGTAGATGCCCAATATTGGCTATATATGTTTTGTATAGAACTTTATACAAATTTACACAGTGGGAATGTTAGTATTATTTTCACTATATTTCTTGTCTTTACAATATTATTTTTGCCAAATATAATTGCGTCTATCCAAAAAAATAAGCCATTGGATAACACTTACATTCGCACTCTGGAAATTTATCAACATTGTTTTCTTGTATTCAAGAGAATAAGCATTTCTTCAAAAAGCGTCGAATAAAATCGATACTTAAATCTATTTAATATAAATTAATATTAATATATGATATTTATAAAGACAGACTTTGATTTGGTGATTTTTCGAATGCACGAGTCTCCGTTTAGGTACTCGAATACTTGCGAGACATACGCGTAACAGTGTTACCGTCACTAGCGTTCGAGTTGTGAGAAGATTGTAAGATTTTGGATGAAATGAATAAAGGAATCGTCCGGCTATAATTTTTATTAATATACCAAGATTTAGAATATATTATATATAATATCGAACAATCGACAAACAATATCAAAATGCAAATATGTATAAGATAACGGTGAAGGTGAAAACAGAACCAATAAATACATATGAAACAAAGTTTATTTTCCAAATATTTATAATCACTATGTACACGGTTCTGTACAAAAGTTTAGAAAAACTAATTCACGGACACTACATACAGCAAACGCAATCACCATAATAAATATGTACATCATAAATAATTTGTCTTACTGATCACACCTAGTTCATTCTAATCATCAGTATTCAATTTTATATTAAAAACAGCATTATTTATAAATACAGACTTAACAGATTGTAATATACAATCCTGCATATTTATATATATAATCAACATAAAAATTCACTGGACAATGAATGAAAAAGGACAAATTTTAAGATGTTATGCAATAAATATTTCTTGTGCATTCATTAATCCACAATAGTGGCATAAAAATTTATACAGCATGTACACAAGATATTAAAATGATATTGATATTCGATTGACAACGCAGAATCTAACATGATGAGAGATTTAAAGTCTAAATCAGATCATACAACATGTAAGAACATTAAATGCTTAAAAGACGAGGAAAAACACATTGCATTGTTTGCAAAACTTTGTAATTATCGAGTGCTTTTTTTTATCTTTTTTTTTATATTTCCCATAATGAGAAATTACCTAGTTAAAATAGTATATTGTTACGAATCTTTGTATTCACATTTCTTAAAAAAGAAAACTAATATCTATTTTTTTCTTTAGGACGAATAATTTTCAGTGGTTTTAGTATGCCTGTTAAATGAGGCCTTGCAGAACTCGTTCATTCTTTGATTTCATCATATTATAATACTATTTTCGCAATTTGTTCTTGTACAAAAAATAATGTAGCTATACTCAATGAACACTTTAAGTGGGACACCCTGTATACTATATGAATTGCTTCTGAAAGCTATTTTTAGTTTGATTATTATAATACAAAGAAAATAATTAACTGTAAAAAATCTATATTAGTTTTCTATACATATCTGGACAAAAGATAAGGAAACCATACATGAAGCATTACGGAAAAACGAGAAAAATTTTATCATTTTTACTTTTGGTACCAATATATCTCATATTCACGACATATCAATACATATTATTATATAGATATATCAAAAGGAACATGAATATTCTGGAAGAATAGAAGAGTTCGTTCGTTCTTTAGCAATAAAATGTAACAGATTGTAAAATTATAAGGAGTGTCCTGAGCTTAATATGTATCAAGTGAATTGAAAAGTCTACAAATATGCCATTAGAGTAAAATTCTTTTTTAAAACATCATTTTGCATCAAGCAAGGCGTATGTTTTATCTCCATAAAATTAAATAATAGTAATAAATAATACTGCATGGAGGTGTTAAGTGTGGCAAATATATTCCTAATATATACATGTATGTGGAAGGTAACTAATTCCCAAATTTAATTTGGGTGTAACATAGCAATACTCAGATGGCATCGTTCAATGAAAAAAAATTCATCAAATGAGTAAAAATTATGCAGGAACATTTTTATACATAGAATTACTTAAGAACTAATATCACTTAAAGCCTCCATGTGTAAAGACATGCAATTATATCAATCAAATAGATCACTTGACTCAACTGTTCAATCAAACTAAACCGTTGTGTGTACTGCATGGTAAACTTCAGTCTAAATTAAATGCCTATTATTTACAATATCATCGACCAAGCAGGCACACATTTTCTGTAAAGAATATTGTACACTTTGTTGTCGTGTGCTCGCTCTACTTAAACGTAGACAATTTCGGTATAATGCAGAGAACTTGGCATTAAGAATGCATTGTACAGCCTCAAATGAGCATTTTGAGGATATGTCTTTCTTTAGTGTAATGTGTTAGCCATCCAGTGGTGGTCCTAAGTATACCATGGACACCTCCGTATTTCCATAAACTGCAGATACTGATGGATATAATCTCTTATCTGGCAACCCTGTTCATCAAAGTAATTTATAAAAATTTACATTTTTAATGTTTTTAAAATGAAATATCTTGGGAATAAAACTTTAGAAAGCAAAAAGAAAATGATACAATTGTTATAAATAACTAAAAAATAATGGTGATGAATAATATCAATGTGCAAAGAAAAAAACAATTTGTTGAAAAATAATTTAAAAATAAGCAAGATGCCATACCTCTAAAAGCTACACCCAGAAATTCATAGTTCTTCTCAAAAGATAATGTATTATCATCACAATCCAAAATTACTCTAATCCTCTCTCCGACCTGTGAATGATAGTTATTAAATATTAAAAATATTTGTGCAAAAAGATTGCTTTTAAATTATAAAAAAAAAGTAATGCATAAATGTAAAAATATGAGTGATGATTTACTTATTGTAATTGCGACATGATATAGTTTATTATACAGTTGTACATAAAAAAATTGAATACCTGATATTTTGGAGCATTGTTGAGTAAAGGATAATTTCCCTGTGGATCTCCATTATGCAACAAATGATTATCAACAAGATTCCAGCCCCAGGAATGTTCATCAGAACCAAGTAATGCTACATATCCATGACATAACAGAGGTGCTTCTTTAGTGGCTATTCCTATTACTGCTACAGTACCTAATGGTCCTTCCCATATAACTTCCCAAGCATGACGTCCATGTCGGAAGCCAATTTTCCCTCTACATGCATCCGTACTTTGTGCTACAGGATTTCTGTAATGATACAGCAACTGGTGCGAGACATTTTGGATATCGCTTTTGTCAGATTATTTCATGCTTCTTCTGTATTACAATTTCCTCCAGTTTTACAAAATCACATTATATGCATAATTGCATTTTACAAAATCACAGTATACTTGCAAAAATTGACTATGAATAAGGCAGATAGTGCAAAAATTTTTAGATACAGTTGCTTTGAATATGTAAAATTATCTCACTACATTTCACAGAAAAATAGCTGAAGATTAACAGTTAATCTCTTCTTTTACAGCTCTATCTACTACTTCCATAGATGGCTGATTAATTTAAATAAGAAATAATATTAAATTAGAGCCAATAAGGATCGTTTTCAATACATATTTGCATTAAAATTGCAAATAAAAGTATTAGACATGAATTGCTTTCGATAGCCAAAGAGAAGATGACATCGTTGGACCAACCTGTGCAGGGTGAATCCATTAGGTTTTATATAAATATTTCGCGAGCAGTCATTCGGATTCCAGGCATGATAAAACGCACGGAGCTTCGATTTATATGTAGGCACCGACGACAACAAATCGGAACTGAGCGCCTCCTGTGCCAATTTTCTAATACAATGCATCCGCCACACGTCATTGTTCTCGTCGTTAAGAAACCGGTACCACCGCTTACACACCAAAGAACAGTTTCTCAGCGTATGTAAGTCTAAATACGAGAATATCACTTCTAAAACATGATCAGATGCTCGCAATGCTATATCGTCCATTTTACCGGGTCTGTTTAGGAGAGGAGCATAAACATATAAGCGACACAGAAGCACCGTTCGTGCGTCACGTTCAAGAATGTCATTTACGTGTAGCTTCAGACAGATGACGTAGCACGCCATCTAGTCGCAATGGTCAATGCTAGCAGCCAACTACGTTTATCATTGTTAGATGGCATATGCTGTCTGTCAAATTAGTCGTATCTAGTATTTTAGAATTTAAGATTCGAAATTTGAACAAAGTTAGATTGATATTCGCGCGCATTATCAAGTGGCGATGCAACTAGAAAATCCAGAAGTCTCTGCCATTTGTTACGCTACAAACAGCACTCAGGTCCGACTCGAACGTAACTGATGCCAATCCATCGTAAGTACTGATTAAATCCGCTGCTACATTGTTAACATTTTGCTAGAGACATATATTCAAAGATAATTTATTGACATTTGTATAAAATAAAAGTTATTTACAAACATATATATTCGATATATGTATATACGTCACAAAGCTGTTTTTCACACGGAAGTATTTTCTATATTTCGATGATCCAAATGAAAACGGTTTGTTCTAACTTCGCGAGTATGTAATGAATTGTTACTTGAACGCGAACGAATTATGATTTAGTAAGTACTTTTTTCGGGAGTCCACCATATCGTTTTGTTAGCTGAATGATTCTTTCCGCCTCACGAATACCGCTGAGTCTTGCACCATGCACGGTGCTATAATGGCCTGGTATGGTAGCTTCGCCCGCGAATAAGAGAATCGGAGGTATCGCTTCACACTTACCTAGAAAGGATATTTGTTGAAGAGATACTAAAGTTTTACGATCACTGATAAATTGGAGTAAGATCTAAATATGTGGAGCTTAGACTCGATCTCTAAAGCAGAGTTGTCTGATTCTAGATTTCTGCAAGCAAAAATTTAAAGTACCTGGTAATGGATTAGCCAGATCACATTGGTGACCAACAGTACTGTCTACCGCCATGTAACTGTAAGCTCCAGCAAAATATTGATCCATGCACCACTTGCTCCTGAGAATGCTAGCTGGATAAGGTAATGTGGGATCACCAGTGAACTGACGAAGAATTGCTGTCAGTGACTCCACCACTTCCTCATCGGAACATAATTCCATATCCATCGCTTCGCGTCCACATATCCAAGCACAGAGTACATGTTGTGAATTAGATAATTCTTCTACATTTGCCACACCTAAATGGATTAAGTATGATTAGAATTATTCGTTAATTCATATATTTTTTAAGCTGCTTCAGTAATCTTTTAATATTTAAACATTTTTAATTCGACAGTTGATTGATTTAGTCGAGATATTTATTGTTGATTTTTAGAGAGCAATATTATATATCTATATTTATTCATTAAAAATATTAAAGATTCTTTGCAAATCCATTTATATTCAGTAATATAACATTTTATATTAAAAAATTCTAAAATATAAATTTAATACTAATGAAAATATTAATTTGTCGTTTTCATAAAAAACTGTCTTCAAAAATAATAGTTTTTATTAAGAAAATTTAAAAATGGAATTAAAAATATTTAACTAAATGCATAACTCATGTTTTGTAAGACAGAAACAACAACCTTTCACCCAATCACATCTATCCGCCAGTTCTTCAGCAGACCAAGCTAACTTTATACCGCCCTCTCGCCAAACCCAAAAAGGCTTTGTGTATTCGAGGAAGATTTTGTTAACATATCCATAGCCCAGCTTGTTAATCGCCTCGACTTTTTCAGCAGGTAATTCGGGACAAAACAATTTCGCATGCTGATGCTTTAGGACACCAAGCGAAACGGTCACGATAACATAATCAGCGGGAATTTCTTCATTGTCGCAGCATTTCACGACAGCTCGGGGACACGCATCATCCACAGTACCCCATCGAATGCAGGTAATTGGTTTGCAATACCTTGAAAATTGTTTTTTTTTTTTATATATATTAATTATATTATACCATAAATCATGTTAAATCCGTTCATATTTCAAGATTGAACAAGTCAACTATATATTGATTGATCAATCAATCAACTACAATATTTTAACATTCAATTTTTTCACGTGATTTATTTTTTTTAATTTTGTAGTTTAAATCTATTTTTTCATGAAATAGATATGCTTTAATGAGCCTTTTATACGAACCTAACGCAACTACTAGGTAGATCTCGAAGTAGAGGAGCTAGTACTCCCACATATCCTAAAGGTACTCTGACATTGCCGCCGGGAATCTCAATGTAACTGCCAAATTGATCGGCTGACACGAGCGATAGATCATCTCCGCATCGACATTTCACACAATTTGTCATGCCGTACATCACCCTTGCGGCATCATATCTACAATTGAGGAATTATCCATATTATCATTTCTAATAGATAAATTTATAGGACTTAATTGAGTTATGATTAATTGTGTAGCGATGTAACGATTATACTTTAGCGAGATCAAATCAATCAAATTCAATTCCATCAAAATACATAAATGCAAAGAGCTCTTTATAAATTATTTTGTGTATATAAATATATTTTTTCACTTAAGTTATGTTAAATTTTAACTTTTTTTAACTTAAAATGCATTTATATATTAATCGTTATCTCTTAATTTCATAATATTATGCTATTTGCAATCTGTTTTAAACATTTTTTTTATTTTTTTAAATTGAAAACAAAGTTTAAAACTGTGTTCAGAAAGTCTGAATATTTTTATTGAGATAGATCTAAGGATGGGCCATATTTTCTAATCAATTTTCTATTTCTATTTAAGCAAATTCTTTACATCGCTACTGATAAAGCTTGCGGTTGACCTGGGCAACTGTACCGTTGCTCCTCTGGAAAGTTGTGCAGCTCCTGCTGAATTCTGATGCCCATAAAATTCAGCAACGTACCGTGGCTACGGCCACAGCCAAGAGTGAAGAGTGCTGCTGCTTGCTGTTCGATTTGTCGAAACGTGTGATATGCTGTGATGCTGACTGGAAGATCGATGGCTCTGCCGTCGCTGGTGCAAAAGAATCCGCGACTTGGATCTGGCCTAATGAGTGGCGTTTTCAATAGACCTTCTTGCGCCGCCAAGGTGAATATCGGATTTGCAACACAACCACCTTCAATCCACGTAGCACCCATTTCCGCTATCACATCGCCCAACCAGCAGGAGTGAATTCGACCGCCCGGTCTGAAATTAGAAATAAATTGGCCAATTGCAGCAACAGCAGGATCTCATAATGATGTAAGTTTGTTATTTTTAACCGATTATTTTTAGACGTAGCATATAAAATGTGTTTAAATAAAATTTCAACATAATTATAGCTATTATATTATATATTTTATCTTTTTTAATTTAATTAGTGATACATATTTTAATTAGTAATACAATCTAATATAACTTTTAATTTAAATTTAATTTTTTTTTTCTTTTAACATTAATTTTAATTTCTTAATTTATATGCGAAATACCTATCTGTTGCCTCTAAAACCGTAAAATTACGGAAGCCGCATTGAGCCAATCGATGTGCTGCTGATAACCCGGCCATACCAGCGCCTATAATCACAACTTTTGGTTCTGGCTTGCATGGATCTATCATGAAAGGATCCAATTGACACGTTTCGAATTTGGCTGGTCGCGATATACATTCTGAAATATTTGTTTTATCGCCTTTTCCAACCTTGTCTGATGAGAATAATCTGCAATGCAAAACTTTCTTGTGATATTCAATTAACCAATAATTTTAATTGTCGATAGCAATATTTAACCTTTTTTCTTAATTAACTTTATACACTTTCGATCTATAAAATTCACAAAATTGACAATACGTATTAATATAAGGTACAAAATATATTAATAACATATATTAATAAATTATATAATTCACAGAAAACGTATATATGACTTCACGTGATTGATATTCTGCATACCTTGTGAGATATCGCTGCAGCCTCCAGGATAATACCCTGGATTTTGGAAGGAGCATCTCATTGGATGAAAATTGTTGAAACCAAGGAGATTTATCATAAAAGAATAATATTTAATCCTGTTTAATTTCTCGTAAATTTGGATGTATAAAGGTAAGTTGTGATGAAAGAGATACGTCATTCGCAAACAAAGAACTTCGATCATTCTGACTGTCTACTGTCGTTTCATTATAATATTTTCCACAATTAAATTATCAAACAGAAAAAAAATTAAAATGTAATAATTTTGATGAATATCTTAAAAATATATAACGATCTCGTTTAAAAACTACTAGTTTCAATGAATAAAGCACAATAAAATTGTGTTTCAATATTTGCATATAATATTTATGAAGATATAATTTTATTAAATTTATTTAAATTTTGTGGGACTTTAAATTAGAGCTGAAATAGGTAATAAACAAAAATATCAGAATGTTCTATATATTTGTTGAAATAATTTATTTAGTGATATTCCTTATATATATATTATTTATAATTATACACAAATATATTTTATAATATTTTGTTTTTATTTTTTATTTTTTGTAGACATATATTTTTATATTTTATAGTAAAAATTTATTCTATCTATATTATTTGTGTGTTAAAATAAATTTGTCGCTACATTTATGCATCTGTGATATATGCAGTTTTTTGATTATAATGAATAAATTCTAGAATTTTGAAATATATAAAAGCTAGTACATGTGATAAATATAAAACAGTGTATAACAGTGTAATAATTGCAATAAGCAAATATTGCAAGCGAAAATTGATTAAGATATTTTTTGCGAAATTTCCTTTGTTTCCAGATTCAAAGTTTCTATTCTCGTCACAATATCGTCCGGTGACTTTGCGATTTTGTCAATTGATTCTTTGTAAACTTCTTGCAAAATTTCTGTTGTTTGATCACTTATTTCATTCCATGCAAAAGTAACGTCTTCTTTCTGACATAGTCGACTGCAGATGACAAATCTGGCGACAAGTTTGTTCTGATACATGCCGGCAATGAGATAGATCTTTTTTCTAGCGTGCAGACGATCTAACAACTTTTTTGTTAAATTGTTATCGCCCTGAAACGGAAATTCAATCATAATGTAATTATTAGGTAATTATAAAAAATTTATTTTTTATTTTTTTAATTGATAAAAAATCGGTAGCTAAAAGTACGTACCTTGATACGAAAACAGACAAGACCCATAGTAACTTCGGTCACTATTTCGAATCTATTATCCGATCTAACATACTTTTCAAAGAATTGCGCTAGTCTTATGGTATGTTTGATGTGTTCTTGAAGTCCCTCCGCTCCATAAATGCGCATGACAAACCATAATTTTAATGAGCGAAAACGCCGACCCAGAGGAATTTGCCAATTCTGTATTATGAACAATTCGGAAATCAGAAATAAATATTAAATTACGCTATTGCTCAAAGTAGTCCATTAAAAAGAAAATATATTAGTAATAAATATATGAAATCTTACTCTATAATCGGGCACCATTCCTTCTTTATTGTGGGCAAGATATATTCTGTTAACAGAGAACGTTTCTACGAGTGGTTTCGAGTCTTTTAGCCTAAAAGTAATAAGAAAAGAGATGTTTATAAATATTATTAATTTATTCCACAAAATGTTTATTAATACCGCTCTTTTCATACATAAAATTTTTATTTTAACATTGAATTTCGGTAACTTGAAAGGTTTACTTGAATGCCTTTTTTAAATTCTTAAGTACGAATATCAAATGTATAAGAAAATTTTAATTAAATTTTTATATTAAAATTTATTAGACATGTAATTAAATTATTTTTGTCTAACAATGTAATGTTACATACATACCACAATATCGAAGCATCAAAATTAACCAGCAACCACTTGTGTGCATTTATATTGAAAGAGTCTGCATATTGTACTCCGGACATTAAATAACGAAACTCCGAACAAACAAATGCTGCACCTAAACCAATACAATTACGAACAATAAATTTTGTTATATTCATAAATGTAACAAATATAAAGAACTGATACTCTAATAATTAACTAACTAATGTAAACCAAATATCTTTCTTTAATAATAAAATTTTTACAAAAATAGATTAATTAATTTGAAGTAATTATAATACATAAGAAAAATATGACTTAAAATCTACTTTAGATTTATAATCCGCAGCAGAATATTTAATAGAAATCCATTTACAATTTTGTGCAATGAAGAAAGAGATAAATGAAACATATAGATTAAAATAATATTATACATTACACCAACCTGCGTAAGCAGCATCGACATGCAACCACATGTTATACTTTTTGCATATAGGTCCTATCTCATCAAGATTATCGAAAGCGCAAGTACCGGTAGTTCCTAAAGTAGCGACGACGTAACATGGAATGAGGCCTTTCTCCAAATCTTCTTCAATCGCTTTCTTCAAAGTTTCTCCACGCAGAGAACACTTATCATCCACTGGAAGCAACCTCATTAACATTGATCCTAAAATTCCGGCTTTTTCCACTGAACAATTGGATTGATCTGAAAATGGAAAACAGGCATATGGAAATATTCTGCAGGATAAACACAATGTGAGTAATAAAAATAATTCGCACGATATAAATTTAATATTATGCATTAAAAATTCGTACTAAACTTTATATCTTTAACTTTTAATATGGTCATAAATATTTATTAACATTTTATTGAAATTTTATCACACAAAATGTGTTATATTGAATAAATTAATTGTTTAAATTATTTAATAACAAATTGCATTGATAAAATGCATTGATAAAATTATAAATACTATAATACAAATCGAAAATATTTGATAACAAATCTTTAAATTTTTGAGGAGAAAAGTAAGATTATATTTACCGGAAGTATACGCAATCAATTTAGACTTAATGAGATCCTCATCCATATCTGGATGAAGATTTTTCATTCGACGCGTGGTATGCTCTTTCGCAACCAGCAAACACATGAACGTACATTCACTTGCAGATCCCTGGAATTAATAATGCTAATAAAAAAATAACATACGTATTTAATAATTAAATTTATATAAAATATGAATTATATTATAATTATTTAAAAAATTGTTAATTATTCTGAGTTTATCATATATCGATCCATAAATAAAATGGTTCGTTGATCTAGAGGTATGATTCTTGCTTAGGGCGCGAAAGGTCTCGAGTTTAAATCCCGGACGAGCCCTTTTTTCTCATTTTTGTGCGAAATATGCAGTATGTAATCTAATTTAGAGATTTAAATTATTTTGCGGTGGTTTTGAAACATCAATGTAGTTTAACGTATTTATTAAGACATTATGGAATTCGTGTGCTAGCCTCATTCTGTCAATTCATCTACAAATGACAGTAGTTACCTGTATTACTCCTCCACCTGTCCCATCTTTGCTATGCAAAAACTCGTTAGGCAAACCCAACAGTTTGGCAAGCCAATTACACACAATGACCTCTAATTCAGTGCAGGCCGGGGATGCTATCCAATTAAAACCAATACAACCAATTGCATTACTTAAAATTTCGGCTACGGCAGCCGGATAAGAATTAGCCGTTGGAAAGTATGCGTGAAAATGTGGGGAATTCCAATGTGTGATCTGATAAAAATGATAAAATTTATCTTTTTTATTTCATCTTATAAAAATATGTAAAACATAGAAATTATATAAATGTCATTCTAATAATTAAAGCTTTATATAGACATTGGAAACTTATTTAATATAAGAAACATGAAAATTAAGAAAATAGATTATAAAATAAAATATTTCCGAATTACGTTTTTATTGAAAAATTAATGCAGTTTTATATATTAAAATGTTACAAACTTAAAAAATATTTTTATAGTTAATAAGATTAAAAACTCACTCCTGGCATAATGTATCGCTCCACATCATTAAGCACCTCTTGCCATTTCTCAGCTTTTTGTGGCGCCTCTTCTGGTAATAATTTATTGAGATAACCCGGCTCCACATTGGGCAGTACATTTCTGTCTCTTAAAGTGTCAGTATAATTTGCGACAAAATCAATCATTGTCTTGGCAAAGTCCACGAATTCCGATGTGTCCATATTTTTTTAATTGGAGAGTCACGTAACAATTGTACTATAATCATAAATTAAAAACCTGTATTTAATTGAAATTTATAACACAGAAATAATTGAGAGAAGTTACTACTATTCCTGTTTATTTCTCGCCTATAAAAAAGCATAGATATGTGAGACCATTGTCTTATAGGTAATTATAGAATTTTTTTTAAACATTAAAAGATCATTTATGATTACTATCAAGATTGTTTTATATTATTTAAGATGCTTTTATGATTTATGCGAAAGTATTAAAACTTGAATACTGAATGTTAACAGTAGTTTTAATTTAAACTAATTTTGAAAGAGAAACACAGCTTCACACAAGTAATAATATATATTTTTTCCAAGTTTCTTTTTTATTGAATTTTTTGTTAAATAGCAAATAATCAATGAAAAAGAAAAATATTTTGTTCAAATACCAATAAGAATCTTGTGATGAGATCTTGCTTGGTATTTTTAGTTCTAGACAAATATTTTTGCTTCTAACATTTACTGAGAAAACGTTCATTTCATTTTCACTTATACAATTCACTCTCAGACTCGTATCTCATTATGTAGCGTAACATCTAGCGGTACAACAAATTTAAGCATCACAGCGGAACAGAAATTCACTATATAAGCACTATTTTCATAAACATCGTTGTCTAGCAGCGATTCGTGAGATTCAAGATTCGTATTTTGCTATCACTATCATAAATTAATTGAGATTATTATGATTTATTATGATTATCACAATTCACAATTGAATACAATGTGACACACAAGACTCGAAATTTAACTTCACGAAACTTGAGACGAATACGCAAGTCGAACAGAACAAGTCGGTGGACGATTCAAAAGTGTTTTCGGTCGGCTAACTGTCCCCTAACATTAAATACCGCCACCCAGGAAACTTTCACTTGCTTTCTCTGCAATCATACGAAATATTGGCCCGTGCCGACCGCGGAAGTAATTTTTCTAACAATCAAAAAACGGTCTCTTACATACAACTGACGATTTCCTCTAATTAAAAGATTCTTGTACGTAAAAACTATAATGTTGTACTTTAACTTATTGTTACATCATAGTTATTTCAACATTTGTTCAATTTTATGAAGAGTTTTTATTTTCTTTATTCAAAAAACTATCTTCCTTTAATGAGTATTACAATTTCTTTCTTATTTTATAAAATATATTAATTAAATTGCTAATATAAAACGCGTATTTAATTATATATAGTAATAATATTATACAATGTATTGATAATTTAATACATATTTTTGTACCTTGTTTTTTTTTCAAAATATGAATAGATCATCAGAAGAGATCTTAATTACATTGCGAAAAATCATTTAAAGCCTTTGTTTTATGTTTTTTTGATCGAATACGTGTGCACAAAATTGCTCTTTCGCGATAAAATACAAAATCGAATCTCACAAATACTGGTGATGCTTTTGTGCTTTATATACATATGTGTATAAGAAATAATAAAGGTTTTTCAACTTGATTTCTTGATTTTTATAAGATACAAGAATTTACATGCATTAGCAGTTTGGCGGTAATTCAATTGCAACTAATTACAACAAACGACATTCCAATTGAAATTAATATTATGGACAGCTAAACGTACGCTATTATTATATTAAAAATTAACTCTTTCTAAAACAATGCAATAAATCATATTTGTTATTTATTTTTTCACAGGCAATTACTTTAACAGTTATACTACGGTTTATTGAAAACTATGTGTAATTATTTTAATTTAGTATAGCTTCTCCATTGTTATCATTTCTAGTTCTTAAATTAATAATTAAAAAATTGATTTGATTTAATATCTCTATTCTGATGTTGTAATTCAACATGATCGATGTAGATGAGATAAACGACTTTGAACAGTGCAAAAAGTAAGAAGTGTGGGCTCGTCCGGGATTTGAACCCGGGACCTCTCGCACCCGAAGCGAGAATCATACCCCTAGACCAACGAGCCGGTTGAAAACTTTTTTTCTTTTGACCGTGCACATGGTCGCAATCATGAAGTAATCAAGAAGTGAATTATAAACTTTTATTAATTTTTATGGTTTTTGTTTTGATAAAGAGTCGAAATCAACAATAAGCTAGTAAAATTTAAGCAAGGATTCTTACCTTTTAAAACTCATATAAAATGTTATAAAGATAATAACACTTTATCTTGTATTAAATATAATATCTTGCTTCTTTCCTTATAAATTTTTTAAATATGAAGTTTACACATAAGTTCTAGAATAATTTAATCTATTTATTACATGTGAGCAAAAAAAAAGTAAATCTTTATACTTATTATTCATAATAATTATTTTTTGAGAATTAAAGCTGGTCATCGTTATAGAAGCAACAAGTTTCCGTTATGGCTCGTTGGTCTAGGGGTATGATTCTCGCTTAGGGTGCGAGAGGTCCCGGGTTCAAATCCCGGACGAGCCCATTTTTTGTTTTAACCAGTTTGTGCTGACCTACTTTCGTAACTTTCAATTTAACAGTTGCTCGCTACATATGTGACGCATTATATTTTATTATTGATGAATTAGCTTTATTAATTATCTGCAGTTTCTGTGATAATTAGATCACATTGTATAAATTTTTCTTGTTATATGTGCTGTATTCAAGCAAAATTAAGATAACAAATACTACATTATCAAAATTATATTTCTTGCAAATTTGAAGAAACTAATTATATTCATATTTGTTTCATTCAAGTTTGAATATATGAATTGAAATTAGTAACAATTAGTACAATGAAGATCTTTAAATGCCAAAAATTAATTTATATTAGTATAGCACAAATAGAAAGTAAAAGAGCAGAACAAATAGAAAGTAGAAGACGCTGTTTTTGTGTCGCTTTCAAATTTCCTGTATGTGTTCAGGTTTACCTAAGATTTTTTATTATAATTAATAATCAATATTACATCATAGTATATTTTACTTGTATCTTTTACAAGAGATTGTTTGATTTTCCCCTCGAGATTTTTCGAGAAACATCTCATATGATACTAATTTTATACAAGAAATTTGAAAGTGACACAAAAAATAGTGTCTTCTACTTTCTACCCGGAAACATTAATAATAGTTTTTTATTTTATTTTATTAACATTTTTATCATGGCATTTTCTTAAAACTTTAATGTGGCGCTTTATAAGCAATCTTATGATAAATTTGTTAATCGAATCGAACATAAAGAATATTATTTTAAAAATTCATTTTCTGCAAATATTTGCGTAAGTCAAATTGAATAAGGCATAAGATTTTTTAATTTTATATTCTCTAATATTATACTTTATAATATTTTTTGACACGTCAAAATATAATTTTTTATTATTCAAATCTTTTATTATTGACATTTGAATATTTATATAAATTTTTTTTAGACATGCAAAAGTTTTACTTTCGTTGTCTTTGATTAATGTAAAAATAAAACATTTGTTTTGTGGAAAATATTACACGAAATGTATAAAGGGGGCGTAGCTCAGATGGTAGAGCGCTCGCTTAGCATGCGAGAGGTACCGGGATCGATACCCGGCGCCTCCAAATTTTTTTCTTATAACATGTGATAAAACCGCAATAAAAATTAAATATTAATAATTGTTAGGAAAAAATTATTTTATTTTATTTTGTTTTATTTTATTTTATTTTATTTTATTTTATTTTATTTTGTTTTATTTAATCTAATGAAACATAAAATATTTTACTTTAAAAAAATATTCTATTGACAATTGTATCGATTATTTTTGTTTAAATAATATATTACAAATTATGCATTAAGATATTGATATTTCTAAATGAATTATTTGAAAATTTAAATTTACTGTGGAAATATAAAAAATTATGTATAAAAAGTATCTATACATTAATACTGCTCACATAACTAAGTGGGCGCCGTGGCTTAGTTGGTTAAAGCGCCTGTCTAGTAAACAGGAGATCGAGGGTTCGAATCCCTCCGGGGCCTCATCCGCGTACTATGTTTGCGGATTATTGATTTTTTGCACTTTTTAAATGTATTAAGTTAATATTTTTTTAAATAATAATATGTTAGTAACACAAAACACAATTATTTGTAATATCTATATTTGTATTTATTTTAAAATCAAATATTTACTGCATAAATTATATATAGACACTCATTGTCAAGTACGAAATAAAAAAATGTTTGTGAAAAATGTGAATTAGAATAAAACAATTTTGTATGGTAAAATTTTATTTATAATTAAATTCTGAAAAATGTTAAAAGTTTTTTACATTTTGAAATGTATAAAAAAAATTATTATAGAATATAACTCATCATTCAGATCATTAAGTTAAAAGAATCTTATACATTGTTTAATTAGATTTTAATAAAATTTTAATTTAAGAATTGGTTAAAATATTTAACATAGATATTATATATACAACGATGAGAAAAATTTAGATGAAATTGAATCTAAATTGCACAAAGAATGCAATATAGCAATTTGTAGTAATATATTGGAATTATTGCAGTAAATAACACCATTGAAAAAAGAATAAATAGAAAGATTTGTATAAAAGTAACTGTACTTGTAAAACAGTTGCGAAGATTATATTAGTCGTTACCTACATATCGAACTACAAAAGAAACGATGGAGAAAATGAAATTTAGCAAAGACCTTCAGTGCGGAGTCAGCACATCCGGTAATTCACAAGAATGGGACAAGAGGAGTGAGAAATTCGTAGTAGCACCAGAAAATTGGAACCCCGTCGTGATGTCATGTTACTTTTATTACCATTTATTACGAGTCTTTCTTGTAACGATAAATTGTCCCAACAAAAAACTTTCCCACTAATCACTATGTAATATTTTTGATTTTTTATAAAACTGCATTGTTTTAATTTTATATATTTTATAAGATAAATATCAATTAAGAGACATATTTTTATAGAAATTATTTTTTTCTTAATTATAATAGGCTATATTTGTAACATATTTTTTTAACTGCAATTTAAAACTTTTTTTCAGGTTTGGTTTTACGGATATTGATCATCAAATTATATAATGCAACTACTTCTGAGATGCTAAACAGGCTATGCTAAATGGCTATTGAGTGAATAAACCGGTCGAACAAGCCTGCACATCATGCTACGTTACCAGTTAATGTCCGTAGTGACCACCAGATGGCCGATTACCTTCATCATTTTCTCGTAAGTAAAAGTTACTTCAGTAGAGCATAAGACTCCGAGCAGAGAACGGATCGTCACTCTGGTTTCCCTTCAATGCACGCATAAATCTTTCGCCTTTTACTAAAGATTTCCGTGGAGGGGAACAACTGATGAGTCTATAGACTAATTTTTTGTGTACCCTACGCAAGTGGGGTCGTAAGCGAATATAAAAATAATTTTTAGGTATTCCTCCTATAAGCGACCAAGTTTGAACTTTGAATAAAGTTCAAAATTGCTAAGTCGTAACATCTATTCCTTATATATATATTTCCTTTTCCTCTACATGCAACTAACAATGTGAACTGGAACTCATAAAGTTTAAAGTTTAGAGTCGCTAAAAATAATTCTTGCGTAATTTTTTTTCCGTATACGCGACCAAGAGCGAACTCTTAAGTAAAGTTTAATTCTTTTCTTAAAAGTTGCAAAAATAATTTTTGTATATAATTTCGTTTCCTACACACGACTAAAAACTCGAAACTTGAAAATTTCACTCCGTGAATATCTATGTCCGCTTCATGATGTGAAGATTACATCATGTTTGGTACTTGCTTATAATGAGGCTATTTGTCCTGAAATTATTTTTAAAACGAATTTGGCTACATGCTAGTACATATTTAAATTTTTTTTAAATGCTAGATCAAATATCAAAATATTTAGAGGCGATGATAATTTATTGAATAATGATATTAAATAAAATGTAAAAATCAAATTCATTATCTTTATTCAAATTGATAAAATGTAAAGCAAAATAGATAATATCACGATATCTACTGATTCACGTTTAACATTTTATGTTATCTATTGGTACCCGAATGGTAAAGCAGTAAAGAGTTAGTTTCCGTATGACAAGATGGCATTGGTAGTTCAATTTAATACATATAAATTCAAATAAAAAATGAAATTAATTTGACGTAACATGCTACTTTTATTTAAAAAAATAAATTTTTTTAATTGATTAAAAAATTATATATATCATATTTATTAATTTTTTTTATATTAATTTTATAATACTGTATTAAATTTATAATAGCAATAATTTATCAATAATTTAAAAACTGACATTATTTTGTCAACTATATGAATATTTTAAAATTATGAAATATATAATAAAATATTCACAGTTCTTCCCCATAATATAAAATCTCATCTTTTTTATTATCAAGATGTTGTAGAAAATAACTAAATTTATACAATAGAAATTATGAAAAATCTGATAATATTTTTCTTTTTTATTGCTTTATTTTATTATCAGCTTAATGTTTTGAAAAACATTATTAAATTGTTACAGATAAAATAATTAATGGAGCACAAATGTGTGTGTGTGTGTGTGTGTATGTGTGGAAAAAGAAACTTTTATTTTCTGGAGTAGCAGCATACGATATTATCATAATATGATCGACGATAACACAAGTGCAATTGTAAGCAATGACAACAACCGGAAATGTTTCGGCTGGCAAGATATGCGCGTGAATGAGTCCGCGAGGCACCTCCATATCCCTAGCTAGCAGCAGGAGATTCCCTCGATTGAAAAAGGGACAGCCGATAACGGCGCGAAGGGTAGATGAAATGGAGGTTCGTTTACCCCTGGCATGGAAGAGTCACCCCGTCCTCATCGATCCTCATCCTCCGCCTTCTCTCCACAGGCGTCTTCTTCCCTCTGTCTCCCCCATCGTCCCCTCGTACTTTCCCTCAACTACCATCGCTGCTTCATCCCTCCATCTCTTCCCCGCTCTCTGTCGCTTCTCATCGCACCCTCTCTATTCCACAACGTTCGCCCTTTAAGCTCTCGTTCTTCCCCATCCCTCCATTCCTCTCTCTCTCTCTCTCTCCTTCTCCACCCTCACCACGCTCGCCTTGTCACGCCTCGACGAAGTAAATTCTACTTTCGAACGGAAAAAAAAGGGAAAAGACGCGAAAAATCGATGCGCGACGCCGGTTGGCCACTCTTCGCTGCGTTCATGTCCGTATTCGTCCGCGGCGTGTTCCTGGGCGTGGCTTAAAGATGAGCTCTCGCTGTGTCATCGCTTATATTGATCCTACACTATTCGGTGTGTACGTAGCATCCACCGATATTGCACCCACACGAGGGACAAGGCTGTGCTGGCCGCGCGCGTCCACAGGCGCCGATCGCGACTGTGCATATCCGCTGCACATCGCGTCGCGGCACCTGCAACGCATGCATTACATACGCAGAGCGTACAGGGTGGTCTGGAAAGGATGAAAATCAGCATCAGCCAGATGTTGATAATTTCTTTCGGTACAATTTCATACATAACTGCTATCTCTAATTTTATTAAATTTTAGAATTAACGTTATTTGTAAGAGAGAATCTTAAATCTTAATACTTCCTATTAAAATGCACTGCATGTGTTTATTTTTGACAAATAAATGTGATCTATATGTGACACATCTTGTCACGTCTATGGCGTTGAAAATATCAGCTTGCTAATTTCTAAGTAATATACATCGGCCAAATTCTTTTTTTTTTCAACAAAAATTAAATTAAAATGTAAAATATATTATATTTATTTATTACAATAAGATAATATAAATGCATATAAACTAAACTCTCACTTTTTTATATTGGTTTAAAATAAAAAAAGCGGTATTTAATAGAAATTTTAACTTGTAAATTAAATATTCAACTGAAGAAAATTTCACTCTCGTTTTATAAAGATAAATGCTCATTGCTGATCCTCGTCTTTTCCGTGCTACCCTGTACACAACACACATACACTGTTGTTACGCATAGAGAAATTACGGATACACACGACGAAGTGACATTTGCGTGTTTGCATAATAGATATGCGAGCATGTGTCGCGCGTTAAAATGCCTGGCGGGAGTTTCGCGAAGAGGAAGAAATCGCGCTTAATTTAATTTATTCCGGTAAAAAGATTCTTATGCGAATATCGCGCGTGTGTTTCTTCGTAATCCAAATTTGTTCTTAGCCAATTCTCGAAAGCAACTGAGGGAAACGTAGCGAGAAAAATTTATCTGCCATGTTATTTTCCTTATTTTGCACGACAAAATAAGAATACATTTGCAATAGTAATAATTGAAGAATGGTTATAGAAATTTACACGATAAAAATTGATAAATATTATTCAAGCTGCTGCACAAATTCGTAATAACGGCTATATATTAAGAATGTATTATCATTTTATAATTATATACAGATATATGATTATATAATTGCAGATAAGAAATAGTAAATGATGTAGACATACCATAAAATTTTCATGTCTATATATCAGTACAAAAATTGTATCATTTAAAAAAAAATAGCTTAATAATTATCGAAACCTACTGTTTCTGTTGCGATACTGGTACTTGTACAATATTAATAAGATGTAAAAAATAATGTTATAAATAAAAAGATGATAGAATGATGTATTAAAAATAAGAGGCTGTACAAATAGTCTAAAAATGTATATGGAAAGAGAATTTCTGGTGATGAATAAATCTTTGATTGAATTCTAGATTATCGAATTATGGAATTTCGAGGTCGATAGAACCGATGGCTGTGCAAGAGAAATCCGTGATTAATTTAGCTGGGACCCGCTTCATAATGGACGGCATATATATTTGGGTTAATGGTGCCAGTTGGTTTGATGCCAGGATATCTACCGGGATAGATATATCGTAAGTATTACGCGAGGGTAAGAGTTCTAGATAATTTCGAGAACTTCGCATGACCGCTGCGGACATGACAAACATATGTGGCTTATTTTGCTTCATTTAATAAATCAAGTTGATTGCGAGAACAAGTTACTATTTACATTATTACTTAATGCTTCTTAACACAGTTTGCAAATAAAGTTAAATTGATTCTTTTTCTCTCTCTTTCACGTTTATAATCAGCCAAATTTATCACTCCAATAAATTATTAAGATACATTTACATATTATCGCCGATTTTCGTTTTGTATTTTACATTTAGTTAATTAACAGTTATTACAAATATATGTACACGTAATTAAATATCTGTTTATAAAATCTTATCTACTACAATAAAATTTATTAATACATTGATTGAATATATTTGTAATATGTATTTGTAATTATTATATGACGATAAATACTTGATTTTCAAATAACAACCACACAATTGTTAGCTTGTGTTTTACACGGTTTTGCATATGTTTATCGTAATAATCTAATCAAGAACAATCTAATCTAATTTCAATGTTTCTAGTGGACGAAGATCCTTTGATGATATACGTCTTATCTCAGAAATACGAATACATATTTTATCCAAACATCCAAATATCTGTTTCCCGATGATCTATTCATTAACAAGGTTTCTTAATATTTTCGAAAAAAAGTAAATTTTTGTACACCTTGTATAAAATGTAATCTCTCATTTGTTTATATAGATGCGTAAGAGTGAATCAAATTTTCGTGCCGCCCGTCGTTGTCCGTACATTTAAACGCAGCGAGCAATCGACTCTCGGACATTAGGAGGCGAACACAGAGGCAGACGCGCGCGGAACAAAACAAGAAGGGTGTGAGTTATACCGTGACCGTTTTGATGGATTAATTCGCAAACCAAACGGAAGGCTGCTGCATAGACTGATTTCGACGTAACCCGTTTTATTTTTCTCGTTATACAAGCCAGAGAGCATTGAAAAACGGCTGATCGCATTGCTCTTCGATCTGTATAGGTATGTTGAGCATGAATGTGTTTATCATTATTCTACTATAATAAAACAATACAAAGCAACATAATAATGATATACTAATAATGCTCAGCATTGGTCGACATTATGTGAGAGAGAATCGAACACTTTTATGTTTAAAATTATCCAATTTTTCTTGGAGAAGAATTCTCTTGTATATAATTTGCAATATTGAAATTAAGGCCTTAATTTATGGATAAAATATTTTTGATATGCAATTTTTTTTTTCATTTTATGCATTTTTTAAAATTTTTATTAAGATAGTAAAAATTTTATTTATGAATCTTATTCATAATGGAAAGCTTTCATATTACTGAATGTCGCAAAGATTCTATCAGAATCTCTGCATTATGCAAGTAAATTAAAGAAAGTTGCGGCGACAACTTAAATTAATAATTTAACAAGAAATCCATTATCTAAGATAATGCACTCTCGGAAATTCTTTATTCATAACATAACTCCTCACCGTTGTATATATCACAAGTGATATGCATAGAAAAGGCATTCACAAAAAACTTTCGACAAAAAGAGGAATATAAATTTATAAAGAGATTTATAACTTGAAGAATTCATACTTTGAGAAATAGCGCATTTTATTGGAAAATAAAACATTTTACTAACACGTGCGGAAAGTCTGACGCTCAATGATCTCGACCATGTGTGCCTTAGTCACGCTGACATATGGCAAAGTCATGAAGCCACTAGGTGGTCCGTAGTATATTACTCTACCTGTCGCCATCCATGCTCGCGGGAGGTAGCGCTCATGGCTATTTGTATGACAACAAGGACTGTTTTTGCATTGTCCTCGGAGAGTCGTCGAATACCGAACTAGAGCAATATATTATTGATACTCATTGCCGTCACGTTTAAATAAATTATACTCCATATCATCGTTAATAATAAAAAAATTATTTTAAAATAAATTTTATTTTAATAAAAGCTTTAGAAATATTAGTTTCAGACGAAATAGATATATCATTGATAAAGAGTGGTTATATAAAACAAGAAAAAAATGTTTAGCCGAAACCATAGCTCGAAAACTCAACTTTTGAAATCGAAATAGCAATTTATTACTTTTTTAATATCTTAAATATACAATAATTTTTAAGCATTTTAAAAACTTTCTAGATTTATTGATAGAAATTAATATAGAAATACGAGAAAAGTTATAATTGTTAGTTTCTCAGAATTTGGAAACTTAACTGTAGAAATTTAATTAGCAGCTAATTTTGGTTAATTTTATAATTTTTTAAAGATTATGAATTTTCTAGAAACTTTAAAATACACACATGAATTATTTCAGAACACTTTCAGCATATTGTTATTTGATTCAGATATAGAAAAAGAATTATAAATTGGGCTTATTATATATATAGCTCGAAAATTCCACTCTTAGCATTTAATTAGCAGTTTACTCTTGATTGACTTTTATCATTTTTTAAAAACATTATTAATAGTATTGTTAATACTACGTAGCTTTGATAAGTCAAACAAAAATTCTTTTTGTTCAATTAGCCCATATACATCTATATGTTTCTTCTTATTGATGTTTTCTTAATTAAATCTTATGCTTTCCAGATTTATAATGAGAATACGTTTTAAAACTGAGCCAAGCTATCTCTATAATAAAATTTATATTGAGCACATTTACAAAAATACAAGATTTATAATTTCAAAAATTCTTTTATTTATTATTTTAATATTATAGTATTTATTATTCTTGTTAAACATTTTTAATTATTTTGTAAGATAATAATTAAAGTGTTAAAGTTATATTAGTACATTTTATTTAAAATCACTGTGAACAGCGTAATCAGAGAACGTACTAGGAATTGGGGGTATAGCTCAGTGGTAGAGCATTCGACTGCAGATCGAGAGGTCCCCGGTTCAAACCCGGGTGCCCCCTCAAGTTTATTTTTTTTTTGTTTTATTATATTAAGAAATATCTCACATGCAGAAAGTCTTTTGAAAAGTTTAGAAAATTAGATTTCTATTTTATAGGAAATTTTCACGCGTGTAAAGTACTTTTTAATAGAATCTACTGCTGCACAAACCTCGCTGAATTTGTGATAAATTTAACTGTTTATTATTTATTTTATTTTTATTATTAGGTAATTAATTGCTTCACATCGTTGGAAGAGATATGAATGACATAGAACGCATGCTCTTACGAAACAAAAGCACGGAGAAACGTCGAAAGAGCGATGGAGAGTAAAGAGGCGGCATGGTACACCACCATAAAGATCTGACAAGAGAAGAGAGGGCCATCAGTTAATCCGCAAGGCTGCCGACCGCACAAGATGAATGTTCGATGTGCGAACCACCTGCTTTAACGGTAAGCGTTAAATCCGTAAAACCCCACTAAATATTCGTCGAATCCGTGAAATGCCCGCAGTGCTCGGATGGGGCGATCAGGCCAATTGGCAGGCCGCCAAATGAAATGTATATCCGACATAAGTCGCCCTATCTCGGTCCGTTTGTTGTGCATCGAACAAAACATACCTACTAGAAGTAGAGTGTATGAAATGTAGCAACAGCATGGCTTTGTAATAAAGATATACATATATAATGATAATATTAAAAAATATGTGTAGCAATAATATTAAAAAGAGGTGATAAACTTTCGAGATATCTTGTATAAAGTAACGATTTCGTAGCTTTGAATAGCCGTGCGTTTAAAAGATTTAATTTCTCAAATTTTCAACATTTTGCTCAATTTTTTAAATATGTTTCTACATTAATTTTATATTTATCTTACATTAAATTTTATAGTCTAATGTGATTTTTCTTTTAAAACGTAATTTTAATGTTTTAAAGATAATTGAAAATCTATAGTTAGGGTTGTTTAAATTTAATAATAAATATTGAAACTGACAGACATTGATACGAAGCATATAGGCAATCTTTTGGCTTTACGTGATCGAATCTGGTTTAACTCAATACAATAAGTTTTGAGAAAACTTACCGAGATTGTATAAGTCAAATGACAGATGGGATCGTGCTAATCCACCATTATCGTTAGCAATGATCAGCTCGATCCTGAATACGACCCTTTGTATTCGCGAAGCTTAGGGATCGACGTCGAAATCGGACTCAACGCTTTTCCAGCAATCGTATGAGTCACAGAGTCATCTTGTGCGCGATATCTTACGACTAAAATGAAAAGCCATTGATCTGAGTGACTTTTCACTTAGATATATCAATCGTTTTGCACTTAAACGGTTTTTTCGAAAAATCAAATAAATTGTAAAAAATATTGCAAAATTAAGTAGAAGTTTAGCATAATTGAAAGATATAAACTTTTTTCCAAAGCTTTTTTCGATACAAATATTTCTGCAAATATTTTATATAAAATATTTTATGAAAAACTGCATCAATAAACTTAAAGTCGTGTTTTAGTCAACTAATTTTTTTCAATGCTGTTACATATTAATTTCTTTTCGTTTTATGTGAGAAAAATATCTAATAAGCGTATATCTTGAATTGCAATTTTTAGTTATGCTAAGTTTAAAGTTAAATAAGTATGGAAGAGCAATATTTTTGGTCCATTGTGAGATATATTTATTTTATCACGCGTAGTCTGATTCTAAATTTCCTGCTTGAGAAATAGTGAAGTGAATATGAGAATAGATCAATACGGACAATGATCCTTCGTGGCTTACCGTGTGGTGTAGGATCAAACACTGGCGTCCTTGCTCTAACGACCAGGCACAGGGTCAGTAACAAAGGGTCCAGGTCCCTGAAGGGCTTCTGCGTTTTGTCCTCAGAGGATCGTCAGTTTTACCCTCGCCCATATCCAGGGGCTGAACGTTTAAATTATTCATAAACAGTCAAGTGATTTGTAAAATATGACTTACTACTGTGCTCGACAAGTTAAACGCTTAATGCTTTTCTGTTTTTGTACGGATCTGCATCTTTACGATACATTTTTCAAATTTGTGTTTAAAACCATTATATAAATATTGCTCAATGTCACGCGTTTAATATGATTTATCAATATATATTGATTTTACCTGTTTTATCATGATTATGATGTTTGTAGATAAGTAAAAAATATCAAGTATCAAATATTGATAATAAAATACAAAGAAATTTAACGAAAATAATGAGGTTTTGTAATGTTTGATCATTTTTCTATATTTGTTAACTATTTAATAAATGTATAAATAATAAATAATGTTTAATAAAATTTTTTGTCTTTCATTAAATAAATTATAATTTACATAGATTATACACTTAATCAAAATTTTTATCTTTTAATTTTAAACTTTTAATTGCTATACATTTTATACGTACATAATTGATAATCAGTACAAGATAATTGATAATCAGTACAGCACAGGATATTTATTTCAGAATTTAGTAATAGCGTAATTAGTTTATTCTTATATCGTCTAAATAAATATATATTTATCTTTTAGTTTATATTTATTATTCTCTGATTACACATTTCGTTTTACATATATATTATATTAAATAAACAGAGAGTTAAATAAAGACAATCTACAAACATCATAATTATGATTAAACAAGTATAACAATCAGTATTATTAATAAATTATATTAAATGTGCGACATTGAATTTCACTCATTTTTATATACAATATAAATTATCGTGCATAAATTGCAGTCTACCTTTCACATCGCACTTTGCACGAATTTACCTATTTAAAATGCACGAAGGCAAATAAATAAAATAAATGAACGTCAAATATATCATTAATACGGTATTTAACTGCGTGTATCTACATTTTATTTTTGTGCGGGTACACCTCGCGCGGCACTGACATCATATCAGTTAAGCCACCCCTAGCTAGCTGGTGATCTAATTTAATTGACACCATAATAGCGAGCCTGCACCGGCCGTTAGACTCTTCGTGGCACAGTCTTCGTGCCGAGGGATGAAAATATAAGGGCGGTTAACCGGGGCGAGACGCATGGGGCGAAGACAATTGAATTTCATGGGGGTTTGGTCGCTTAACCAGCTAATTGGTTTGTTCATGCTACTCAAAGTGTATAACTTTTCTCGCCGTGCCTGACCACTTCGTCCAGCGTGTTTGTTGATCCTCTCAAATAATGTAGTAATCGCCTAAATAATTTATGACAGTACAGGATATTTTAGAGCATTACGATAAATTCAGTGCTATTTCTCGACAAAAATTGCACAGAACATTACTTATAGCAAGTTTTTAACATTCAGCATTATACATTTTAATAATTAAACATAAAATCAAACTTCTATTATAAAGTACATTTATAATAAAACATAACTTTATTCAATGTATAATCATAAATTAATCAGAAATAATATATATCGAAAAATGTAAATGAATCTTTATACTGTCGTGCAATGACAGTTATTAATAGCTAAAGACTTATTTCCCGAGAGAATTTTTTAATAGTTTTCGCGATGAGCTTGTTGCTTTTAATTGCTCGCGATTTTTGACTATGATAAAGGAATTTTTTATTTTAAGAAAATCAATAAATAATTATACCAATTCAGGATTCTAACACATCTTGTGTAAGCGTATATGTATGTTTCGCGCACCAATACATATGTGTAAGGATAGTTATAGCGTTACAATCCACGTGTCACATAAACGCGTTCGTTTAAACTCTCTCTCTCGTGCGGCGCGCACACGTGTGTCCACCGCCGCGCGCGTATGTGTAGCGTGGGCGGACACGCGGGGACTACTCGGATCAGTCGTTGGATGCACTCAACGAAATTAAACCTACTACGTTCCTCGACCTCGGACCAGTCTCGCGCCATCAGGAAGAGACATCGACGGCTTTCGTCGCGTTTCGCGCGACTTGTCAGCTTGAAAGTCGTCCACGCGTAATTCCGGACACGCAGTACGGATCTTAACCCTTAACCTCGCCTAACCTTTCCCGTTATGACCGTGTACTTGATCTTCTAGAATCACGAGACAACGAAATAAATGACGGTATTTTTAAAAAGATTTAATCCAGTTATATAACAAGCAACACTTTAGTGCAACTTGCTTCTCGACGTAAATATGTACATTCAAACAGTTTATAGATTTAATGACATCATTGCGCATTGATTAGAATGTTTGCATATTTATTTCGCATTATCACTGTCTCCTCAACCTATTTTTTTTTTATTTTGATTTTTTAGCTTTGCTTTGTTCTTCGAAATGATTCCACGCGTGAAAAATTCTACGCGTTTGATTCTCTTTTTGTTTTAATTCCTTTGAAACATGAATAATAATCGGCCACGAAACGTTTCATTGTTTACATGATTTGTAAACTATTAATTAGAGTAATTGATACCTTTATGTCCTTTTCTATTTCTCTCTCGTAGGTATATGGAGAGAAAATCGTATCTGGATATCGGGGAGTTGCATAACGGAAACGAATAGCGCGCGATGGTTAGCGCGGGCGAATGGCTCGAAAAGCTCGAAAAGCTCGAAAAGCCCGAAAGAGAGTGTCACGTTTCCATGGTAACCCGGCGTGGCAACTCCGCCCCTCTGGCCTCGCCGGTTCGATATCCTCTCGTCTCTCTTCCCTGGCACCCACGTCAACGTGCTCCACATTTTTCAAGCCGGAGCCGAGCTCGTGCGACTGGAGTGAAAGAAACGATAACGTTCTACCGTCCTACGTCAGAGATGCATTCGACAAAGTCTTCCAAAACATCCTCCGTTGCTCAATTACACATTAATCCTTTCAGTCTTCCTGATAGTAAACGCTGGTCTGATATTTGAAATTTAGAATAAACAGTGTTTATTTTATAACTTATTTTATTGCTTATATAATTTGCTGCAAATTTATTCGTAAACAAATTTTTAATACAAATAAAAATTTGAATGCATAACTGTTTCCGCATTCAGATTGCAAATAGAATTCGCGATAGTAATTTTGCGGGCGATAAACATCACATTAAAATTAGATTTTATTTTTTAGCTCAAATCAGAATTAAAATTATATGGTTGTGTCAAATGTTCGTTGTGTTGTTTCACGTGAAGAAGCTTGCTAAATTCAGTAGTAATTGAAAGTAGGTCAGGTAGAAGATTAGAATCGTTCGGTTTATGGGATTCCTTCTTGGTTTGATACATCGGTTTCCACGCATTTCTGAAATTGAGCATGCCGCAAGAGAAAAGCCTACATTTCGGAATTCACCCCGAATAATTTCACGCGATATACCGGGCGTTAATATCCAAACGACGGCGCCGAATCGATACGAGCCGACGGCCTCTCCGCCGAAAGAGGCAAACAAATTCACGCGCGTTTTCCGCGCGTCCATCCATCCTGCTCCCTCCGCCCGATACCTCGTTCTCGTTCTCTCACGGCCCATCTTGTCCTGTCCTCTCCAATGCACTTCGTCGGTGCAGCTGCGTACATACTTCCACCCTCTCCCGTCCTCCTCCTCCTCCTCCTTCTCCTCCTCCTCCTCCTCCTCCTCTTTTCCGCCTACGAGCATGTGCTCTTTCGCGTGCGAAACGTCCCCACGATTTGCTCTCGTCGCTCCTTCGCGCCTCTTCCTTCTCTCCTCTCTCGGTCCCACCGTTTTGTTGCTTCGAACTTCTTCCTCTCTCCGCTACCACCCTACCTCCCCTTGCCATCTCTTTTTCTCATCCCACTTTCTTCGCGCGAGGACGCGCGTTAACACGTGCGGCGCGAGCGATGGGCGAGAAAAAGCACAGATGACATATGCAGAACGTAGCCACCTCTATATTTCACGCGGGGCTGTTTGCAGGAATTTACGACGGTGCCATCGGCATTCTTCTCCTACATATCCACCTACAATGTTATTTCTTTGCGTCCTCTTCTGTGGCTCTCTCTTTCTCTCTCTCTCTCTCTGCTTTTCGTTTCCTCATTCTATCGGAGCTTTAAGCCGACACGCTTGCTCTTTTTATCTATGGAAAGAATTATCCTCGTATTTTGGAAAACTTCCAACTGCCTTTCCATCACTCGCCGACGTATTAGCTCTTCTTTATTCGCCGCTGCAATCGCATAAAATATTGACAGTAATAATATACCGCGATGTAATAAGAGCGCGCACGTCCTTTGATTAATAATTCGTCTTCATAACGTCTTCACAGGACTCCTTGTTCACAGGATTCTTGTATCTCAGAAGGAAGCGCACCTTTGATTAACGTAGCTCGATCCATCGGTGCGTTATTTGACTTTTTAACCGGCCGCGAGTCCTGTTTATGCATACCGCGCTGCTCCAGGGCGAACTTTCAGCGATGATCAAAGGAAACTAGCGGGACTTATAAGGAACAGATTAAAGCTACAGCCGCGAGGGCTTCCTCTCTCTTCTCGGCTTTGGCGGGAATTTACGACACGCTTTCTTTATTAAAGACTAATAAACCGGCCGGGGAAATGCCTCGGCCGCGATTTCATTAATTCCACTTTAATATTGCAGACCGAACGGTTCGCTGCCGCGCGCAGGGCGAGTTGTAGGCCGGCATTGAAATAATGTAATCGCTAATCAGACACTACTCAGCGAGGCGATGGCTATACTGCATTCCCTTTGACGTTCACATCAGCCAATTCTCGTTGGCGTCCGCGTATCTCTTCCATTACGATTGCAAGTAAATTTGGCATTCCGTGAGCTTTGATTCCTACAATGTTAGATTAAGTTGCGTTAGCTTTTCAATTGTGACGAGGCGATATGATATAGTCAGTTTCATTGCGCAAAATGTTTTATTATTAACGGGATTCAGGATTTTGATGCCCGAGGGCAATTAAAGACGAAAAAATTGGTTGCAGATATATAGCCTGTTTCATCTTGCTTAGGGGAGTTTCTCATTTGTATGCTTAATTAATTTCTTCTTTTCGCTTTCAGAATTGCAAACCCAGCATTATCATCGCGTTATTTTAAGCGAAAACTGATAAGCTACGTTTTGCTATGCAATGCTATGTAATCAACAAAATAATAGATATTATTTATATCTTATCAGCTGGAGAGGTGAACGTAACTCGAACGTTCAGACATACGGCGCCATGGCTTAGGTAGTTAAAGCGCCTGTCTAGTAAACACGGGAGATCGAGGGTTTGAATCCCTCTGGGGCCTTGTCTCTTGTATAGGAGCAGCGTACACATTTTGCAAATATTTATTTTACTTACACAGGTGCGTAACAATACTCAATATTTTATTTATATTGCACCGCACATTGCAATCTCATAATCGATATTACTTTGATTATCGAGTGGTATACGATATTGTCCAAGATTGCTTTTTTTTATATTCTCCCATTTTTACTATGCATCTATTTTGCATATTACACGTATATATTCAGCATAAGCTGTGCACAATAATTATTCACATTTTATCCATTTATTTGGATTGATAGAGAAATCGACACGGACAGGAATCAAACAGCGCTTTGAGAAAGAACTTTTTGATTGAGAAAATAATTCCAAGCCGCTCAAGTCCACCGTGTACCTACTTCGACAAAACTTTGGAAAGTTTTATATGCCGTTATCTTTTATCGCCGTGCTTCGGTAACTTTTTAAACCTCTGCCGCGCGCGCTTGCAGGTCAGCATTTTTAACCCACAAGACGTAAAAGTTAAATATTCACTTCATGAAAGCGCCGTAAAGGGCCACGGGTTTCTCTCTCACCGTGGCTTGCGGAAGACCAGCGGGGTAGACGGAATTCATTTACCTCCACCGGCATTTCGCAGAAGCGGATTTTCCTAGTGGACCGATTACATCGGTCCAACAAATACGACTCTTTTCCTCCCGGTAATCCGGAAAACCACCATGCAATTCCGTCAAATTTGAAAAATAAAACCTTTTCAAAAAAAGCTAATCTTTATATCGTCGGTTGAAAGAAAGGAATACAGATTATTATGCTCGAGTGATTAAACTTCTCAAATTTTTTCCTCCTTAAAACTTTAAATGTAGAATGATCGAGTGTTGTTATTAATTATAATCAATATTGAATAAATAAACGCAAGACGTGTAAATAGACGTTGAAACGATCGCTTTTTCTCATTGGTATCTATAATTAAAAAAAAATGTGCGATTTCTGATGCATGCCGCGTGTATGTACCACATCTAGATATATACAACAGTAAATTCATACGGACGACTGAACACGCACGGAATCGTAGACTCGCCAGTGTAGTAGTATGCGTGAATGCGCGGGAGCAGATATGTAGGTGGGATCAAGTGTATATACTATGTACACATCATATACGCATGTACGAACGTATATACGAACCATTCGCAAATGCTCTTTCCGATGCGAGCCGCAACCAACGCGCGCCACATGTATTTTGCATGTAACGAGCTTTATGTCTACAATCTAAAAAATCCGATTAATATTTTCGCGTTGCAGTTAAATGTATTACGATATTTCATTTGATATAAAAAAATTCTGCTGTATCAATAGAGAAATATTTCTAATTATCAATGTTACTTTATTCTAAAATCAATTACGCGTGAAAGAACGAAAAGTCTTTCTCCATAATTGTAAGAGAAATTTGTATTGCCGTCATTAACGCAACTTTGTGCGCGAGAAATCCGTTTACTAAAATTGCGCGAATCTTTCATGCAACTTGCATGTTTCCAGCAACGAAAATAAAGGACGAGAAAGAGCGAGAGTTCACGCGCACGGCTAGAGATAACACGGAGAAATACCTCGTAGCAGTGATTCACCTAGCTGCAATAAAAATATGTCTCACTCTCTAGCTCCGGCCAGGATCAACCCCTGTCGAGCGTGGTGGTGGGAGATGGCGGCGGCGGCGGCGGCGGCGGCGGCGGTGACGACGGTGGTAGCTTAAACCACCCCGTACACGCCCGACGCCCGAGGGGTAGGTTGGACTTGGGTTGGCCGACCAGCCCGTGGCCGCCATTATTGACCATCGGTCTTGATTAGCGCTTGATACTATCCTGTCCTGTTTCTTGCGGAACTTTCGACGTCTGCGGAAGTTTGGGCCCTCTTTTTCTCACTCCCGTCAGCCCTTAGTTTTATTAATAATGCGCCACAGTCGTATGATTTATCGCCTGCGTTAGACGTAAATGAATTAAAGCGCCCCTTACACGCCTTATCTTCAGGATTTCATATGCATTAAATAACTAATAACATTACTTGTAAACATGGAGAAATTAGAAAAGTGAATTTAAAACTAAAGTTTATCTTTCAAACGTAAAGTATCTAAATAAATGATGTTACAGATTTTTATCTCTTAAGCGAACAATATAATTGCGCGCTCGAAAGCCTTTTTTGCACCAATATCTATAATCTCTCAATGAGACTCTATATCTCACATGTTAACTTCCAAGGCTGTTTGCGCTCATATATCGGTCAACTTTACTCGCAATCTACATTCTTTTTTTTCCAATGCAAGTGAAGTTCATCGCCCACTCGAGCAGGGGAACTCCGTTGGCTTTGCGAGCCGTTCGTAAGCCATCGTTATCGTAAACCATCGCGAAATCTTGCGCGAGATCGTACCGCGGGTGCGTTTTTCGCGTTGTCTCGCGAGCGAAGAGGACGGAGGTTGTTCGCGGAGCAGCGCAGGCGTGTCGAAACATCTCCCCACCGATGATTTCCCCCTTTCGAGGTGATGCTCGAGGCGGCGGTGGCGGTGGTCTTGGTGGTGGCCGAGGACGATAGGTAGGGCGCCAACAACTTCTCCTCTGCCGGCTGCGTACGCGATTTCGGACGGTGCGCGACCACCTCCACCTTCCGCGTTCTCCGTGCCCTCTGAGCGCCCGGTTTCTGCTAACCGGTGTGCTACAACCGAGCCGTGGCCGAAGCCGGCTCCATAGTACCGCGGCACCTGCTAATCAAATCGCACATTATCCGATCGTGTCGTTCGATCGAGAATTCCGCGAATTTCTTGTTATTTCAACATTTCAATTTTTGAGTTGACTCGAAAAAATGACCGTACCTGTGAATATAGAAAGTGAATGAATAAGACACACCTGTATTTACGTTTACAGTGCGGATGAGTTTTGGATATAAATCTTGGATAAAATCGTTGAACACTAACCTTGATGATTAATTCCTATTATCGCAAACATCAAGATTTGTCGAAAGATATATCGGATAATAATTGGACTACATCTCAGTGTTTTCGAAAGGACATTCAGGGATTCTGACATAACCTCATCGAACATCCGTGTTTTGGTTTTCGCCGCATTGGATTTCGTTCGTCGGATCAGTGAGTTATTAAAATCAGTTATTAGTGCGTTATTTAAGAATTAAATTACATTTTTTCAAAAATTTTTCAACATTTTAAATTCTGAATATAAAGAACGATTATACTTGTGAATATACAAGGTGAAAGATATGCTACCTGTTTAAAAAAAGCAGCAATTATCTAATCGATTAGCTAAATTCAAATCGCTTATCAAATTTCCTTTGAAATTATTATCCATTGTGAGAATCTCGACCAGAGAGCGCCGAAGAGATCCTTCATCTTCGACGTTTCCGGCCAGAAGCAAGATGCGAAGATATCGAGTCGAGCGAGGACGATCAGCGACGGTCATCGAGGAGTGTCGTCGAATGCGCTCGTAAACCGGCGGGCCGCATCGGAACGGATCCACATCACCGATGAGAAAGAAAAAACGGACAGGACAACGTGGCAGGTCGAAGATCGCGATCAAGAGGCCGCGGAATTCGGCGTTTCTTACCGGCGACCGACGGGGCTGACCGCATATTCGGCTCCAATCGCCGAAGCAACTGGGCGAAGATCTCGGCGAGCGGCTAGATCCAGCCGCGTTTTTCTCCACGTCGACGGTCGGATGATTCACATCGGACACGGCACAAAATTTACATCGACACGCGCGCAAAAACCGTCTCGCTATCGAATGCTGCAACGATATCGACTCGATGCGATTCGAAAGGAATCGGTTTGCAAAAGAGAGAGCTTCGAGTGTTATTAATAATCTGCTCGGCGTTGAAAGAAAATTTTAGTCGTTTTGTGGAATATTAACATTAAGAACATTTTTTGTGCAGCCATAATAGTGAGAAAATCAGAGAAAGGAAGAGAGATATGTCGAGATTTAACTGTTGACGGAGGAACAATGAGAATTAGACAATCTTTTAGCAAAGAAAATATAATATTGAATAGGATGTATGTATAAAAGGTAGTGTTTCTTTATTAATTAGTGAAAATAACATAATGTACGTAATAACAATCGCACAAAACAATCGTTATTGATTGAATTTTTGCAGTTTTGTTTCACGCACAATAATTCCAAAAGTTTATCTCACAGTATTTACGGAATTAGAGAACATCCGTGGCTCTATTGCGATTTAAGAAACATATCTGCAATAAATATCTTGCTATACTTAACTGTTGTGTTTAAATCAGAAGCACATGTGGCATATATCAAAACATCGTTTATCAAGAAGCAAGTGTTTCCTATGCTAAACAGTGGGCAACATCGAAATCGCGATTCGGCGGATTTGACGTCCGACAAGATCGACACTACGCTATTCAAGGTTATGGTCGAGATAAACCGGGTCTCGCGAACGATCCGATAAGCAGCCAGCGCGGCGGTCCGTCGGCAGTTGGAAGCATTGGCGAGTGCGCGGCTAACTTCAGGCCCGCTCGGACCTTGCTAGAAGACGCGCGGTGCGTCGACGGCGACTTTCGGCTCGATCGAAGATATCAACTCGAAGACGTGGACTCGACTCGGAGCGATCGTGAGCAGAAAAGAAGAGACATAAATTTTGAAGAATCAAAAACATCGCATGTATCGCACTAAACGATGCCGACTCGGGGATTCTTTCGTCGAAATTAAGTAAGAAAAAGTGACGTGAATTGGTACGATTAAAAATACGGCATGTATCACACGAAATAACACAGGTTAGGATTTCCACGCATAGAGTTAGTCGAAGTAGAGAAAAGTGACAAATTTTGTGTGATTGAAAACATCGTATGTATTCGAGCGTGTATGTGATCGAACTTTTGATCGTCGGCGTCCGTTAATCCTACTCGGTTTTGCTTGTTTTTGCCCGATTATTTTCCATCAATTACATTTTTGTAACAGCAATAAGTGCGAACAACTTGAAATCCAAAAAGAGAGACTGCAATTAGCTAAATGTAGAAAGTACAAAAAGATTTAAGATGTCGGCCGAGAAAATACTGCATCGCGATCGGAAAATCGCATACATTTGTTCAGCGTAAACCGTTTCATCGACAATAAATCGTCAAGCGGCTTGTGCGATAGTGTTGGCGGAACTATTTACAAACAGCCCATTCAAGTCTCGTGCTACGAGCTTGTAAACGAGTCTCAAACTCAACGGGTATTTCTGTTACAGAAAAAACATTCTCTTTCGTGACTTCGTCGTTTAGCAGCAATCACAAGAATTCTGTTAAAAAATTAGCCACACCTAAGATTCTTCAAGATAAAACGTGGAGCGAAGACGATTGTATGTGTGAATCAAGTTGGTGCATTTTTCTCACATTGAAAACTGCACTGAGTGATAACTTCTGTGTAGTTTGTTTGACAAAGACTGGGTCACATTTTCAAGATCGTCGAGGAATTTAATATTCGGTACATTATCTTGGAACGATGAAGATAAGTGTAATAAAAATAGTGAGCGCGTAATTTGCTAGAGACTTTACAGCATCGAGAGTGCCGTATAAAAACAGTATTCAGTTTTCTCGCAATCGCTCAGAGTATGCACTGACGTCAACGACAGTGGACGAAGTGAACCTTTGGGAAGAATCGTTGAAGTCAGTGACTGCATCCAGCAAATTTGAATCGCAGTGGAAGAAATAAATAGCAAATCTCGCCGCCTACGAGGAGACAAATCGTAGGTCTTGGAAAGACTGTCGAAAGGGCGACGCGCCTCGCCGGATATTGCTGCTGACGCGATTGCACAAGCTTACTCTTAGACTGGAGCTGTACTTGCCGTACGCACCGCTGCCGGGGGGCGGCGGGATCCTCCCGGCGGTGAGCGGCAGCGGTGCTTCCGGTGGTTGTCGTCCGGTGCTCCTGGGTGGTGTCGATCTGTCGATGTCGGCAGCGGTGCAGCCGCCGGTCGCGACGCTACCGACGAGCTTGACCAGCAGCGGTCCGATAGCGGCTCACAATTCTCTGCACCACACTTCCGGCGGCCTGGCCCTGCCGCTCGGGGCCGCAGCGGGCCCGCCGGTGATGATGCCGCGTCCACCGCCGGGTGCCATGCCGCCGCTAGGACCCACGTTGCCATCGACGCATCAGGACGAGGATCTAGCCGACGCAGCGCCCAACCAGGACGTCCTGCTGGCGCTCCTTGCGAGGAATAAGAATCTAGAAGGTGAGTGAAAAGATAAAATATAATTAGACAATTTTGCAGCGAAAAAGTTTCTTAAAGAGAAAAGTGATTAATGTATTATTAAACATTTAGAATTTTACATAACTTGTTAATCGTGAAATAAATTATCGATGAACCGGTAGAATAGCAGCTTTGAATATTATCGAAGATTATTCTTGGATAAAAATCAGATGACTAATGCAATTTATGCAACGTCAATGTGACGTTGAGGAGGAGATGAGGAGATATGGAAAGTACTACATTTTTATTTTTTTACAATGAACAAAATTGTTTATTTCTTTCATACAAAATTATGTATTTCGAAAAGTGATACATTAAAGAAATTATCACTATATTATCCTTTATTATGGCAGATATATATTATGCAGAATATTTCTTTTCTTTTACATTGTAAAGTTGCTATCAAAGTATTATCAAATTTATTATTCAATGTGTTGACGTTTACGTATAACATAATTTTGATAATCTTTACATTTAGCTAAAATAAATATAAATTTTGGTATTTGCGTAAATTATCAGCATTCTTTTGGCGTGTGATACAATTATTTAAATGTATAATAAAGTATCGTGACTTGATATTTTATTAATAAACAGTTATCTTTGTAATACAATTTAACATATGTACAATTTAACATATCTGAAAAGTGCTTTTTGTGTGTGGCAAAAGTGAACATTATTCTCTTTTTACTACTTGTATTGAATATTGAAATGTAAATATCAAATGCATTACCAGCACAAATATCAGGCTCCATTTAATTATTCGGTTTTTCGTTATGTTCATTGACTTGGAAACGCGTTTGCGACATTTATCATCGAGATGCAACTAACAATTGCGATGGCAATTGCAATGAAAACAGTTTATACACGAAAACAGTATGAAAATTGGTATTGAAACGTTTGACAATTGCGCCCATCATCGAAGTTTGATCGCAATTCAGCTTCTTCAATTTCATGATGCGTGTCTTTTGACATAATTATTATTTCTTGATATCGCTGATATCTCGTATTGACTGGACTTAAAATTTTTGCCAAAATATTACATGAACGGTGACCACATTTTGATAATGATTCTCCAACGCTGATCGATAAGATTAATGTTTCCATCTCTAAAAGAGTTACTATCGCGTTTATGCTACTGTCTTATTCTTTTTCTATCGTTGTCATGATGTCGCTTTGGAACTAGAAAATATTTTAGCAAGATGACGTCAATCGACTACTAGTATTCGAGATTTCGACAAAATATTTTTGATAGAAACTCGTTTTCAATTTTTGAAAAAATATTTTATAATTATTTTTAGTAATATATATCTTTAAAAAAGTATGATATATATACACTAAACGATTTTTTCTAAAATAAAGAAAATGTAAGATTCAACTTTTTGCAGCTATGCAATGTGCAAATGTGATAAATACAAGATATGTTACAGTTTATTTATTTTGCTATAAATCTAATGATTTTGATATTTAATATCTCATAAATAAATTATGTAATAAGATTTGTTATATTTAATTAATGTATGATCAAAATTTCTTTTTCTTTCAAGCTTATTTCCGTTTTAACAAAGTTAATATTATCAGACATTGACATCTTAATTAAATCATGGAATTATTATCTATAATTCTAGAATACAACTCGTCTCGGAGGTACTTAACTTTAGAAAGTGAATGTAAATATATATATATAATGTGAGTTGCTTTTGGCTTGTGTTAACATAATTGGTTGCAGTGCCGATTAACCGATTTATACAATATTGAAGCTGCAATGTTAGCTTGACGTTTATAATGTTAAGCTCGCTTTAGACAATTTATAATTCGCGGTAAAATTCGAGGTAAAAATCTATTTATAATTTTAAGTTGAATTTATAATAGAAAATATTTGAAAAATCGGAATACATACAAAAATATAAAATATGTTTCATTGATGAATATTTTCTACGTATGTATAATCCGATTTTTGAAATGTTTTTTGTATTATGCGCATATAAAATTATAAATAGAATTTTATCGCGAATTTATCGTCGAAAGTGGACTTTACAAATTTTATAAACTGCAATATTGACTCTCCAATTCTGTCTCTTATTTATAAAGTTTATTAATTTTTCTTTTTGCTTAGAAATACAAAAGGATATTTTTTTATGATAACAAGAAGTAATTTGATTTCTTTTGTGTAAAATATTCTTGAAAGAAATTTCATGATTGATTTATCATAAATCTATAGATAAAAATTTGCGTCCAGTGTATTGCGAAAGTATGCTGTAAATTGATATTATTTTGATTAATGATACAATTTTGATTTAATTGTCGTATTTAAGTATGCTTTCATTTTATTATAACTGCTTGAAATGTCGCAGAATATTTCGTATCTTTTTATCGTTGGACTACATCCGATCGGCTACACTCAGGGCCGCGAGATATCATCTTCGGTTCTTATCTAGACTAGACTAGAGTAATATCCACTATTTTTCACGTAAAGTGTCAACGATACACTTTATTTTCTAACTTCTGTTGCGTTATAGATAACGTTGCTTTTTGATGCAAAACACATGTATTCGTATCAGAAAAAAAGTACATAAATGAGACTTTATCGAAACTCACATCTTTCGCGTAATAATCGAACGATTATTATCAGCTGATTATGAAATGGAGAGTAAGTTTCCATTATTATTGAATCTCCGTAATTTCTTACATTTTTAATCAATTTTTAATCATTTATAATTTGTAAGTTATCAGTCTCTCGATATTTCTGTTGTGGATAATGCGATTCCAAAGCGACTCAAGAATCCGTACATGAAAAAAGAACGTGTCACGCGGAACATCCTGTATAATAGAATGCAACTTTAAAAGGACACTTTTACTTTCAAGCCTTCGAATATAAATACTCGGATCGACAATAAATATCGAGGTTTTAGACTTCTGTTGTTAAATTCGATTTTTGTTCGTCTCACCTTAATCATATCCGTGTCCATCATGTTCATCCTTCTTCTTCTCTTGCGCTACGCGCATCCTGGCATGTCCCCTGAGTTATTCATCCAGTCGATCTCGGTGAGTGGAGCAAGGTCGAAGGCTTCCTAAATTATGAACGTTCGCGGTTGGAGGACGACCTCGCGGTTGCACAACGCGGAGTCGACGACCGATTTTCCAGATGAATATTCACGATGGCTCGTGCGAGTTTAGCAGTAATTAAGTTCGCGACTCGTAAACAGAGATTGACAGGTTCGTGACCTCGTAACCCCTTAGAATCAAAATGCGAATCACTTTCTGTTTATTATGAAACGACTGATTAGAACCGATGTGATTATTCCGATTATTTTAATTGCCAATTATAGTAATGCTTAAAATATTTAATTTGCATTTATATGAAATATAAATTTAATTATTAATATATCACATTTATATTACATTCTCTGTTAGTTTTATTATAGAATCTATTTATCCAGAGTTCCGCTTGAAATCAAATCGGAAAATTGTCTAAAACGAATGCAGGTTTTACTCACAGTTGCCAATAAGAAATCCGTTGCTAATCTTATTTTAGCTCTACATTTAGTGCTGAATGTGACTGATTTTGAGCGTGACTTGCCGCATATGAAGATCGCATAGAACGTCATCTTTAGTCTGATCGACTTTTAATCGCAATGTGCCAGAATTAATATCTACCGCAAAGGGCAGTTCCGACCGATTGTCGTGCGATTCGGAGAACCGATCAACTCTGGCCGGCTAAGCGTTTCTGTGTAATAAAGAGAGCGGAATAGTTCGCGGCTCCGCTTTTGTTAAAAGGGCGCGGCGAGGGTGGCGGATATTTTAATAAGGTAAGTGCTACAAGGCCGGTTGCTATGCCATTGGGGCGGTTTAATCATGTAATGTGTTCGGAGGCTCGGCCGTCCCGCAATCGATATACGGTATTGCTTCGGGCACGACGCGGCGCGTACGTACGACGCGCTTAAATCCTACATCCAACCTAGAGCTAAATCCGCGAGTCGTGTAAGCCGCGTTAAACCCTCGTCGATGCAGGTTTTTCGAGAAGGTTTCGTTAGAGAGAAAATTGCGGAATGAAAAGTCTTTTTCCTTTCTTTCTCCTTTTCTTTCTCTCTTTCTTTCTTTTTTTTTTATGGAAAAAGACTGTCAGAATCGTACGTTGACAAGGGGCGAAAAGCTCCAATGACGATGTCAACCAACCCCCGAGCGAAATGGTAACCATAGGAAACGGCGGCTCATAGCGAATGAAGGCTGGTCGGGACGGGGATGAAAAGAAAATGGCGGACCGGTTACGGGGTAGCGCGTGGTATTCACGTGCGGGGGTGGAGAGAAGTCGGTGGGAAAATGAGGATGAAGGTCGGTACCTTTGTTGCCGACGACGGATCGGCTTTGGCGTTCTAAAAGGGCTGAACCTTAAGGTTCCTACCCCGTATAATCGCGCGCACCAACACGTATATATAAGTATGTAGTTTTCTCTGTAGTGGGTATGCGCCAGGAAGCGTCTCGGAGCGCTTCGCGGTAGCCAAAGCCGATGATTGGACGAGTTGATCGTATTACGCGGTTGGAAGAAGCTCCTTCCCTGGGGCTTAAATTCCTCGCGTCACTTTATGATGCTTGTGAAGCATAGTTCTTGTATTTTTTCTTGGCAAGACAATGTACGCGCGCGCGATGTTTTTGTCCGATCGCTTATTTAAATTTTATATCTCCAAAGGTTTATAAATGTCGCAAATGAATTGAATTGCGCGAATATTATGATCGAACAATTAAAGTATCTTATGTATTTTAATTATGAAATTTTAATTAGCAAATTCTGCATTGAAGGCAAAAATATAAGTGAAATAATTCATCGTATAAATAAATATTGACGGGGAAATAATTTGATGTTTTAGCATTGAATTATCTTTAAGTCGTATCAAGTATTGTATAAACACATTTTCATAGTTTATATCTTCAGCTTTCAATAATCTTTCAAAAAACTGACTAAATTATTTTATGAATAAAAATGTAAAGTTATTGTTTTAAATATAATTGAAGGAATTATTTTTGTAAGTAATAATTATTAGCATATTAACATTTTTTTAACATTTGATTATTTTTGAATTTTTTAATGTTTTATTTAGCGAAATATGGAAGAAATATCTATATTTGTATATCAATTATATTTTACGATGTCAGAATATATTTCTGCGCGGAATGAAAACACTGGCAACCCTTTTCACGTGCTATAATCGCGGCAATACCTTTTCCCTACTTCCATTTCTCCTGAAAAAGGTTGCCTAAGTGGAAAGGGGAAATTGCTTTCCAAGTCGAAAGTTTCTGCGGTAGTGGCGGTTTTGCTATCTTTTTTTATGGTTCGGGCATGAAAACCGCCGAATCAGAAAGGCATCGGCCGGGTTCTTTCTATGTTTTCTTTCGTTTTCTTCGTTTTTCGCGCCGCAACTTTGCCCCGAATGGTTACTCGTTATGATAGATCGATTTGGTAACATCGTTAAATACTGGTTATCGTTCTTTTATTGCCAACCCGCATCTCTACAAGTCATGATTCAATCGCAGTTGCTGAATGAAAGAGTATAAAGATGAAAAGGCGTTATATTCTTTTATTACATAATTTTTTAATTAATTTTACTTAACAGGACAATATACATATAACATTTACAACCATTGCAATACTTTCTAAAATCGTTTACTACATTGACATATCAAATCAATAAGTAGCAAAAAATCTAGTATAAGGTCGACGACACACAATGTTGCCGACCTAAAAAAAAACAATTCCTGAGTACTAAGGACACGCGCGTGTTCCGCCACCCGCATCGGATTACCGTATCTCACCCCGGGGATATTACGGCATTATCATTTTTTTTTCTCGCGCGTGGCTAACCCGAAGTCAATTCATTTCCGGTTTGGAAGACCGACTAATCGAGGTTTGATTGATAGCTGTCTTTTTTTCGAATAGTAAAAGAAAACATCAAGAAAAGATAGTCGTGGGATCATTGAACCGTAATATGACATCAGTCTGTTTTTTTTTTTTTAGGAAAATAGAAGCACTTTTTACTCATTAAAAAAAGAACGGAGAAATTATCATCGCTTAATCTTATAGAATGTTTTAAATATATTAGGAAAGATCAAAGAGTAAAGGGAGGAACTTTTTTGATTCTTAAATCAATTGAAAATGTTCCTTTATGTTTTTATTTTTCCTTGTCAAAATTAATCTTAAAATTACTTCACTGAATTATTTCATAGACGTCGTGTTAGCGTCAAGTAAAAAACACAGTGCAAATTAGAGCATCTTAATCTATTATATCAATGAGTTACATTAAGATAAGACCTATTAGTATATTGTCACACATTGATCGCAGACAAGTAAGTGACTCCTGATAAGATTAAAAGTTTTTTTTTTCAACTAGACAATCATATACAAAGCCTACCTACTTTCGATTGAAGTAGATGCCGATATATTGCGATATTCTTGATAATTATGAAATTTTATATTAGATTCAATTTGTGTAAATAACAAAATATTTACTTGTAATGGAAATAAGATAAAATAAAAATTGTTAGCAAATTTTTCGGGACAAGGTGCTGGCTTGCGCAAATTTTTTCAGGCGCACTTTATTTATTAAAATGTTGTGTAAAAAATGAAATTTTCGGAAATTTCAAGCGCAAATATTCTGTCGAGTTTACCGATTCAGACTCGCCGGGATGATATTCCAGTTGTAAACGGTATGTAATCCGAACTGTTACACGATGAACTCTGGGATTGAGTTAGCGTATATACGTGGGAACGCAGACCTCGAAGCCTCGGGGTTGTTTTCCTTGGAGGCGTGCTCGCCGATCGTCTATCGCGTAGGGGTAGATTTTTCCATAGAGTGTTGCAGAAAGAGAGAAAGACAGACTGTGTTCACTTTTACGGCGCCACGTGACTCTTGTGGGACAGAGTCCTCCTATTTGTTGAGAGCATAATCACATGCACTTCTCGTTCTCTCTCCCTTCACAATGCATTGTTGGTTTCCCTTCCGTTGTTGCACTGAGAGTTTACGCGATCAGAGATTAAGTGGCTCATGATGGGAACTAAATGGTGTTTAGACCGCGTTTATATAATCTTACGATTGCGCCGCCGGCGCATGTCAGGATTGCGTGAACCTGAAAGGACACACGGATCCAAGCATTCCACGTGCATTTGCACCCGAAACAGATTTAGATATGATATACTTTGATTTAGAGTAACATATTTTTGGGAATATTTTGTGGCTAAATCTTAAGATCATATAATAAAAGAATAATAATTTATATCAAATGCTGAAAAAGTTTTTTTCCAGAATCTGCCTTTTAGAATTTTATCTATTTCGCTATTAATGTTGCAAAATTTATTTTTACATAGATTTGGATTTTATTATTACAAAAAATTATTTTCTACTAATTATTGTATGATAAATTATTTTAATTTTATATAACATATTTTATTATTTGATATTATTTTGTTAAATCATAAAAAGTAGCAAAATCAATATAGCCCAGGACTTTTTATCTTTACTCTGCACAGGTAAAGTTTGACCGATATACTAGTTAATCTATTATAAAATTTTTATAATAAACTTTGATAGATAATACATCATGCTACGTTAAGAACAAATTTTAGAACTCGGATGTTATTTATCTTCGTTACAAGAGTTAAAAGTTCTAACTTTTGAATATTTTCTTGTACGTACAACAACAAAATAAATTTAAACTATTTCAGAAAAAGATGCCTCGCTTAAATTAATTTTTCGTAAATGTTAGAAAACCTCTATCGCACACAACTTTCATTAATTTTATCTTATATTTTGCTTGCGTTTTATAACTTAATGTTTTAAGTATACATATTTATATATATATATGATTAAAGAAAGAATAATGATAAAATTACGAATTTGCAGAGAATTTTTCAATGACTTTATTATGTCATTTTAATTTGATAACCGTGCCTTGAAATGTTAACTGCCGTTGCAGGTTCGTATCGTGTCGTTCGTTTTGAAGTGCGATTCAAAGCTGTGCGGAACGAGACGCATTGAAATCGGAATATATTGCAATTTTAATGATCAACGTGTATGGTCTCGCAATATAGGCATGCATAGAAACCAGAAAGTTTCACCTTTATGCATACCTAGGCGTGGATATTTTTTATGGATCTATTCAGTTCATATTACCGCGATTCTGGTGTGACAAGCAAATTAAAACAGAGTCATGGTTATTGGTAACTGTTCAGAGAACGTTATCAGTCGATTTCAAACTGACCAGTGAATAAAAAATTTTTAATTCGATAATATTGATAACTGAATAATATATTGATACACAAAGGAAGATATACAACAGGAAATTGGGAAGTATATAATTTTTAAAATCTTAAAAAAGAAATATAATTCTAAGGTACTGTTTATTTCAGACTTCAAGAACATAGGTTTTTAAATAAAAAAGTGTAATTTTTATTTATGGCAATTTACATATAAGTTACTCTTCTTTTATTTTGTTTAAATATTTAAATTAAGTTTGTTAGTATTCGTTATATAATATGTTTAACAAAGAAAATTTTATAATTAATGTTTCAGAATGTCTAGAATACGTGAATTCATAATTTAATTTATGGTTTTTTTTGAACATTCAATGCTGGAATATTTATTCATTATTTATAATTAACGGAAATAGGTATAAATTATAAACATGTAAAACTCAAACGCGAAAACATATAATTATCATAAAAAGTTCAATGCAATTAATTCGTGATAATTTTTAGCAAGATATTTGTGTATGCATGACGTCTGTACTATGCTACGATGATTAGAATTATCGTCATGCGCGCGAATAATCTAATTCGCGTCTAGAGAAGCAATTCGCGTCGCGACCAAGCATAGTGCACGTCGTACAAAATATCTTAGAACTCGCCCGTAATAGCGGCGAGTAAATTATTTATGGCTGTACGAGATAAGCGCCGGCGAGTTGAAATGTTAGTGACACAATGTCCTATAAAAAAGTTATGGCGTCTACAGTCGAGATACGAGTGTCGCATATACAGCATCGTGTCAACGCACATTCAAATCTCTCGTGATAAAATCTCGAAATCATAATAAGATTTTAAGTTCAAGAAAAAGCGCAGACACAATATATTGAAATCAATAATACATATAATACATAAAATACTTACACTTTAAATTAGACTCGTTTGCGAAAACTTTCTGATGTGAAGTCACTTAATTAAATTATTTAAAAATTTTACTATTTTGTTCTTATTTTATATTATAATGATTGGGTGTTAAAACAGTGGATAATAACTCTGAAACATCTTAACGCCGTGTTCTCCATTCATTATAGATTTTTGGTCATATATTGATTTAAATTCTTTTCATTTTTGAATAATTAATAAAGGGGGAAATATTTTTATTTTGGAAATTTCCAATTTATTTATATTTTATTTTCTTTTGTTTTAGAACGGAGGATCAAAACACCAAGCCGTTTTACTATCAAGGAAGAATGTGAGTCCTTTTCTTTTATTTTTGCTTCTTTATTTTGCCTTTTACGGTTAGTTTTTTGTTCGCACACTGGTAAGACTTAAACAAGATTTTAAAACCCTTATAATTCTAATTCGAATTTGATTACTAATTAAACTTGGATGTTATGAGTACGCGAAAAAATTTGCTTTATTTTTATCGCATTATTATTATCAGAAATGAATATAATGATCATCTTCTGATTATCTTCAGCATCGAAATTTGATTAGTCTCTGGCTTTTACTTAAATAATGATGATCAGAAATGGTTCTTTAATGAGAAAGTATAAGATTGAACATTGGGCGATAGATAAATGACACAGGGAAACTAAGAGTCAATTTGTAAACAAGAAAGTTTGGATGATGTATCAATCCTTCAAGTACTCTTTCATGAATAGGGTCATAAAACACTGCGAAACACTCGACTCTGTCCCATATGTTATCTAGAACACGTTCAACTTCGACCTACAGGCGACAGTTGGTTGCAGGACACTATTGTAGATTAGAAGTTGCATCTCGAGAGCCTTATTGTCTATCGATGTCGATATCTCTGTACCATTTCAAAGCGCAGTACTTGCTCTGAATGCGGGCGATTATGTGCCCTCGTTTTCACTCGAGATACGTCTAGATGCAAACGACATTGATAACATAACTTTTAAAATATAATAGCTTTGCGATACTAAATTAAATCTTCTAAACAAAAATGTCTGAGAAAAATTATCCAAGAGATGAAGTCCTAATCTACAGGATTAAAGCCATGAATGGTTCCTTTATTTTTGACGACTTATGATTCAAAAGGCCATTGGTGCCCGGGTACTTTTATGAAGAAAAAAATTGCCTTGAGAGATTAAAAAGAGCCGCGCTCGGCCTCTCGAGATTAAAAAAGAGGGTCATCCTGCATACAAAGTAGAGAAAAGTAACAGTCGCCGCTCACGAAGTAATCCTTCATCCTGCGGAGAAACACGCGCGCGTCACCCCCGGATATACAGGGTGGTTCATATTCATCGGCGCACATGACGCGGCGGCCGAACGGAGCACCAGTTGTCCCGGCACGTTTCTGACACGTGCGGCTCACGTGGCCGCGCTGACGAGTGGATTGTTCATTCCGACGTCTCGTCGTGTGTGCCGATGTACAAGGATCGCCTTCCCGCTGGGTTTGTTGCCGATTTTTGTGGGCTGCCCGTTAATTGGAAATAATCGATTAGATGGCTTCGCGGGAGACTTTACAGTTTGCTCGAACGAGTGCCAATAGGCTTCCTCCTTTTTTTCTCTTTTCAGACGAAGAAGTCTGATTAGAAACATATGATTTAGATTACACGTTATTCTGAACATATTTGTTATCTATTAAGCAACTTTTTGTTATAAATTTTATTTTTAAATCACTTTAATCAAATAGGCATTCTTCTAAGAGAGAATATTATTCTAAGTTTTTCAAAATTATTTGACAAGTTAATACGCAATACATTCTGTTACAATAATAGAAAAAAAATAGGAAAGTTTCTTTGAAAAATAACCAATATTTTTAAAGTAGAAGCGCAGAAAGACCTATATATCAAAACAGTGAAAGTTATGAATTTACGCGTACGTTGAAAGACGAAAAAGTTGCGTGTTGTTGTTGTTGTACAAAGTTACTTTAGCTTAACAAGTTACATAGAGAGTCGGTAGAAAAGTGCTTACGTCTAATCGATAATGCTGATATTCACGGCTCCATTAGGATAATTGCTCGCACAGTTTCTCTTCCCGTATCTATAGCTATCTGCCTATCTATCTATTTATCTCTGCGCCTCCCCCCATACCCGACTTTCTTCGGCAACCCCGTAGCTCCATGATGCATAAGTGGGCGATGTTAACGATAACATCGTGAAGGATGGGAATCATTAGTAAGGGAATAATATTATATATTATTAATATACGAGCAAACTTGTATGAAATGTATGGAGAGAACGCAAACGCAAGAAACGAAGTAGGACAAAATAACTCTTTCTTCGTTAATTACTTTTATCAGCTTCGTTTATTCATAAGATTTTTTTTTTTTTTTTAAATAGCTGTAGTCTCAGACGATTCGTCGGGATGTAATTGGCAATAATCGTTTGTAAACGATACGTATTAAAATCGTAATCGATCACGGTCATTGCTTCGCGGTTTTATCCACGCCTATTGTAGACGAACTAGTTGCACACGAACAATACTTGACACTCCTACGCTCGTCACAGAGAGATCCCACACGGTCGTCCGTGGCATGCATTGCAAATCACGCGTAGATTTATGGTGACGCTAAATCGGGGCATTCCGTAGCCCAATTCCCATGCTCTCGTCACGTAATCGTCCGTGAATGTCCGCTTATCCGTAAGGGAAATAAACCGGCGGATACATCAACGTGAAGGTGCGCCTTCGTAAAGCAGCATTTTTTTACTTATTTACAAATTGTCACTCAAAAATGAACAGAGAGATCGCGATCATTTTTGGCATGTGTAGAAACCTACTATCTTTTGTATAAAAAATTGGTTATTTACTATTGAGAAAGTTGTTTTTTAAATTAATTTTAATGACGCTTTTCAAGATGACAAGCACTTCTATCGAGACAGTAACATTTTTATTGTGCCAAAACAAACTTCATTTCACATCACTCGTTATTCAGCGTTATCACGCGTTCGTTTCTCATGACACGGGTACCTCGTTGTTGATTATTTAGGCGGAAAAGGAACCGCCCATGCTTTTACCACAAAGTGAATAGAGCAAAGAGGAGGCGTTAAATGCGACAAAACCGTGACGTCCGGTATGCACGAGTCGACACGTGACCTTCTCAATACTCTTATGCCAAGTGCTCGTTGAGGCAACTCGAACACTATTCAGAACAAAGTTACCACGTGTGACGTGTATTATTCGGGTTTTTTTTCTTTTCACTATAATCAACACATATAAACGCAGCTTCTTGATTTACAATATTCTCAGTACATTTGAATGCACTGTACCATCATATAATAAAGCGAATAAACTAAATAATTATTATACTGTAATATAGAATCTATCCATACGAATAAAATAATATTCGTAAATATTAATGATTGAAATAAAATTAAATTTATTTAGAATTTTTAGAGATTCTAGATTTAATACATAATTAGAATATCAAACATATCAATATATAAAATCTATATTTCTCCAACATAAATATATGATACTGTTCATCGCTGACGTGCATATGAAAATTATTACGATGAAAATGACCCGTAGATACTCAAAATTCGAGCACTGCCCGCATACTTGAATTAGACCTTTAAACGAACATATATTATTTACGGTTTCAATAGAATCGCTCGTCAAAAAAATGTTATGTTATTTAGCGATCCGTAAATTTATATCGCAGTGTCATGTATCGTTAAATAGTGTCATTTTTTAGAAACGCGAGATATCATCATACTCTTGTGCAATCCCGTCTGCTTATCGTGGACGAGCAATCATCACGCTCGTCACCGGGTCTAGACAGAAGTCAATGCATCACAGAGGAAATCTGTGAAGAAGAAAAACATATCGTCCCCTAATAGCCCTCATTGACAACCATAGCAAAGACGCGGCACGGGTTTTAGGGTAGCGCCCTGTTTTCATTTCAATTTCTACCCCTTGGTGCCCGGATCAACCCCCCATCTAAAGGCCAGATGGTGTATGCGATGCGGCTCTCTTCTTCTTTGTCTATCTTACCCGACGTATCCTGCGCGTTTGCTCATACCTCCCTTGTTCTTTCACCTCCTCCTCTCCCTCCTCCTCCTTCTCCGTCATCGCTCTTGCCGACTATGAGAGATCGTTATGATTGAACATGTCAATGTTTGGCTTGGCTTATACCGGTGCCTGTAACGCGGTTAACGCATCAATTTACTTTCTGGAATTTACATTCTTTATGGTTACACGTAAAAATTTCTAAAAAGAAATAGGAAATTTTTGCTATGTTTTGAGTTTTATCGAATTTTTCTGTGCTCTTTATACGATATTATTTTACTTTTTGTCATGACAGTGATAGCATCAGCTTTTGTTGAAAGATAATGTAAAATTATTTATGCTTTGAATTTTAATTTGTTTGCTTTTTTTAAATAATTCAATCTTAAGAAGATATTTTTGTAAATAGCTTATTTTTAATTTAAAGCTTTAAATTTCTTATCATTCAGGAGGGAGATTTTTATTCAAGTTATAATATTGAACTATACAATGAGTTTACTTAAATTTGCCACCGTGAGGGACATGTCGAAAAAATGGCGAATCCCTCCAATCGAATTACCGGGTTCCGCGTCATCTTGCGGCAGTGGAAAAACAAACCACGGTTACATCGCAGGGATGAAGTGTTTAAATTTAGACGAATGAAATAATAAGATCAAACGGTAAACAACCGCGGATGAAAGGTACCGCGTGCAAACGGAAGCTCACGTTGGCGAGGGTGCGCTCCAGCGTGCAAGCGCTTTCTGAAAATACATATCGCGATTCTCCGGGGAATGCCGCAGCCGCGGTGCTTCATATATCGATTGCAGAGGTAGGTCCTCTCTTTCGCTCACTCTTCCTCTTTCTCTCCCTCTGCGGTCGCGGAATGGAGAACTTTGGTAAACACAACAAACGCGACGCGCTAAATAATATCCGAAGCGGCCAGCGGGAATAAAATTTCAAAACGTCCCTTTCGCCGCGGGCGCGGTAGCGGCACTTTTCCGATTTATATTTAATATGATATTTGAATTGAAAATATATAATATAAATTTTGTACGAACGATACGTCGGTGTGTACAATGTGTTAGGGCGCAGTTAATTTGTTTAATAAACGGTTATTTAAAAAAGCGCTTTTATAACATTCAGCGCGATCAATTAAATTAATTTCCCTGGCGGGAAATAATTATAATAATGTTTTGCTATAATTTTGTATATTTATAATATGCATTTTGGATATAAGTGGAAGCTGTTCGTATATGTGTACATTGTCAATAAAACCACAAATAAATTAGAGTATAT